GAATTACACATCTCTGGTACCTTATGAGTTTATATGGCAGAGCAGCCACTGGAGTCATGTAATTATTTTTGCAGCCTTTCTCTTAGTATTTTCCAGCCAAGCTAGACAATGGTTTTTTATTACAGTCTTACTGTTCTGCATTTTAAAGGACACTGTTTTTATTGGATTTGTTGACAGTTAGGTTTATAGAACAGTGATTTCATTTTAGTTACCTTTTTGAAGCAGAAATAATGTTCAGTCTTTAGTGTTAAATAAAATCAGTACAGTTTATTAATATATTACAGTATAGTGTCTACAGCTAGAAAATTAGCTGACCTTATTTATAGCTTTAAGTGGTGGAACAGTTTTGTGTGGACAGATTGCTTTATTTTTTCTGTTAGTTGAAAACTTCTCTCCTTTTTTGCTTTTGCTTTCATATCACCATTCACATAGAATGAGTCTTGGGGAACCCTTCTAGTTCGTGACTACTTAGCACTCCTTTCAAATCTTGGCGTGTTGCTGTGGAGCAACATGCAGCATGCTGCTTTGTGCCTAGCCCAGGTTCAACATGTTGTCTTCATAGCACCTGGGAATGGGAGATTGAGAATCAGTTTTCCCACACGGTACTACTGAGGCAGCTATACTCTTCCACAGAGTCTTAAAATATCCCTTAGTTCCAAACACTGTGTGTTCTGGGAGCAGAGGGGTGCAATCAAAAATGTACAAGTTACATGTATATTTTTCAAAGTATTGGTAAGGCTTCCCTGTATACACATCTGTCTGATGATCAACCCCAACATGTTGAATCAGTGGGGTCTTCAGTTTCTTTTTGCCTAGGCAAGCTCCAGGATTATCTTTCGTCTCTGCACACTTTGTGTGTGCAGGATCTATCTATTCACCATTGAAGTAGGTGCTCTAAGCACCTAGTGCTGACCTATCAAGATAGCACTTTTTTTTTTTCAGATTATTAAGTAGCACTTTTTTCCAGAGCTCCAACCTCGTGGACAGTCTACTTACCATTTTCTCTTCAGGGACATGATGGCTGGAACATGTAATTCACACATGCTTTGTACAGGTATCTCATGCTTTATTGTAATTTTAGATAGCATGAGAGTTCAAATGTATGTACAAATAATGAACAGCTCATGTGTCATCCCCAGTTCTGTTTCCTGACCATCCTGGTGTTCTCAGGAATTGGCCCTACCTTCTAAAGAATAGAATCATAGAAATTAAGGGTTGGAAGAGACCATCCTCCACCCCCATTCTGGGCAGGAATACTGTGGAGATCAAGTGATCCCAGCAGGGTGTCTGTCCAGTCTCTTCTTGAAGACTTCCAAGGTTGTGGACTGTACCACCACCTTGGGAAGTCTGTTTCAGATTCTGGTCACACTTACTTAAAGAAGTTCTTCCTTGCATCCAATCTGAAACCATCCTCTGACAGTTTATGTCGCTTGCTCCTTGTCCTCCCCTGGGGCACCCTAGTAAACAGTTTTTCTCTCAGCTCCCAATATTCACCCCTTCCATACTTATAGATGGCCACCAAGTCCCCCTCCCAGTCTTCTCTTCTCCAGGATGAACAGTCCCAGATCCCTTAGTCTTTCCTCCTAAGGTTTGTCCTCCAGGCCCTTAATCATTCTTGTGGCCCTTTTCTGGACCCTTTCAAAATTCACCACATCTTTTTTGAAGTGCAGCACCCAGAACTGGACACAGTACTCCACCTGAGGTCTCACCAGTGCCAAGTAGAGAGGAGGTATCACTTCCTTAGATCTGCTTGCAGTGCATCGTCTAATGCATCCCAGTATGCTATCAGCTCTGTTGATTACAGCATCATGCTGGCGGCTCATGTTCTTCCTGTGATCAACCATAACCCTGAGGTCCCTTTCAGCCGTGGGGCTGGCCAGGACATCTCCTAACCTATATTCATGCTGCTGGTTACTTCTCAGATGAAGCACTCTGCATTTATCCTTATTGAACTGCATCCAGTTCTGCTCTGCCTACCTTTTCAGCTTGTCCAGGTTCACTTGGATCCTCATCCTGTCCCCTAGTGTAACTGCTTGTCCCTATAACTTAGTATCAGGGGAAAAGCAAAACTTGGCCAGTGTGCTCTCCACATCCTCATCTAAATCATTGATAAAGATTGATCAGTGATCAATGGGCAAGAGATTGCATGATCGGGGGAAGGAAAACAAGTCTTATAAAGAGGCTGCGAGCCATGGGACTCTTCAGCCTGGAGAAGCACAGGCTCAGGGGCGACTTGGTGGCAGCCTATAAATACATAAGGGGTGTGCATCAGGATCTGGGGGAATGCCTGTTCATCAGGGCACCCCAAGGGATGACAAGGTCCAATGGTCACAAACTCCTGCAAGACCATTTTAAACTGGACATAAGGAAAAACTTCTTTACTGTCTGAGCCCCCAAGGCTTGAAATAGACTTCCCCTAGAGGTATTGCAAGCACCTACTCTGGACACTTTTAAGAAACATTTGGATACTTATCTTGCTGGGATCCTTTGATCCTAGCTGACTTCCTGCCCTTTGGGTAGGGGGCTGGACCTGATAATCTTACAAGGTCCCTTCCAGCCCTAATGTCTGTGAAATCTATGAATCTATGAAATCTGTGTTGAACAGTACAGGGCCAAGAACCAAACCCTGTGGGATACCTCTGGCCACTTCCCACCAAGACGAAACAGACCTGTCCACTAACACTGTCTGCGTTTAACCCCTTAGCCAGTTCCCAAACCATCTGACCATGGACTCTGCCACCCCACAGTCCCCCAGTTTTTTTAATAAAAGTGTCATGGGAGACCATGTCAAAGTAAAATCCAAGTATATGACATCAACTGTGTTTCCCTCATCTAAGCGCAGTTCATTACTTGATCATAGAAGGAGATGAGGGTGGTCAGACATGACCTGCCCACAATAAAACCATGTTGGCTGTCCTTCAGCATCATGCCTTCTTCCAGTCTCTCACAAATGGACTTGATAATTTTTTCCAAAATTTTACCTGGTATTGAGGTCAAGCTGACCAGCCTGTAGTTTCCTGGATCCTCTCTCCTCTCCTTCTTAAAGACTGGCACCACATTAGCCCTTTTCCAGTCTTCTGGGACCTCTCCCAAGCACCGTGAGTCTTCAAATGCCTTTGCCAATTGTCCCACAATGACTCCAGCCAGTTTTCTTAGCACTCTCGGGTATAGTCCATCCAGTCCTGCCAACTTGAAGACATTCAGTTGCTCTAAGTGCTCCCTTACCAGTTCAGCATTGACCATTGTTTGGCAATTTGCACTGTCCCCTGCATCCATCCAGTATCTGACCAGGTGGGCGATCACCATTTGTATGCAAGAATGCTGATGCAAAGTATTCATTAGAGAGTTCAGCTTTTTCCTGACTGTGTTATCAACTGTCCCATCCCATTCTGCAAGAGCCCCACATTTCCCTTAGTCTTCCTCCTGGTCCCTATATACCTGTAGGTTCCTCCTCTTCTGATAGCTTTTGCATATGACTTCTCTGGAATATGGAGTCTTTCTGTCTGTCTCCCCTTCAAAATGTTGGGTAAAAGACCTTATATTTTAAAAACTTCAGGCATTTTGTCAAGTGACTTTTTGATGTCCTTGTCAGGTGACCAAAGCCCCTGCCACCAGCACTAAGTGACTGTTACTTAGCATCCCATTAGGACAGACTGTTCTTGTGGACAGTAGCCAGCTTTATCCAGTGGCACTTCCATGTGAACAGAGAATCATCCATGATTAGCCCTATCTCATTACCCTGTGAAATTCCATCTGACCTGCAGGTAAGAAGAGAATATTGGAAGAAGGCAAACCCCATGTTACTCTGTGACAAATGTGTATAGAGTTCCCTATACGAAACATAATGTGTAAGCTTCTGCACAGACAGATTCCCCAAGTTGTTTCATTTGAGATATACATAATATATATTAAGTGCCTTAATTCTAGTAGTTCCTGTGATTGTCAGCATTAGTTGCTTGATTAGTTGGACATACTAAGAGGAATCCTTGAGACAAGATTTCTTGTAACCTCATACATTAAATATGCTGTCAGTCGAATGTAGTTGCTGATTCTGCACGTGGCTTGCATACATGGTTTAAGTGTATTAGTAGTCCCAGTGACTTCAGTGGTGCTGCTTGTGCCTTAGAGTCGAGTATGACCAGGATGTGTTTTCAAGATCAGGCAGAGAACTTAAGGGGCAGAGACAAGGACTTTTAACATTGTTCTACACAGCCAGCTACTCAATAAAATAAAAGTTGTGAGGCAAAAGGGACAAGGACAAGATATTTTAACTTCTGAGGAAACTTAGGTACATTAAAAATATAATAGGCAGCCATTGATTTTTGGATCATGGTGTACATGCAAGAGAGGTCTACAACCATCATGCCAGGACCTTCCATGCATGTGCCTAGGCAAGAGTATGGAGAAGTAGAGGCTGCCTAGGGCCTATCATCCTCCCTTTAGACCACTGAGACAGAATCTAAAGGCCAGACAGACCAAGTCCAAATTTTCAGTGCCTGTATGGCTGTAGCTTCTGCCAGAGAGCAACAGATAAGAACTGCTGCTGACTGTCTGATGCTTCAGCAAGGGGACGTTTCTGTCAGGGTGATGTCCCTTAGCCTTTCTCCAGTCGAAGAATACCCACAAGGCAGTGAGGGCTAGGGTTTTGAAGCATGTTGCTACATTAGTCTCATTATTAAAATACCGTAATTAAAATATTATAAATTATAAAATTATTTTAAAATATTTTAAGGTGCATAAAATTATAAAAAACAATTAAAAATATAAACCGACCTCCAAATCCTCTGATTTAGGCTCATCAGCCCAACTATTTAGATGACCCTTTGAATCTAGTTGTCTTATAACAAATATGGTCGCTTTAACAGGTGTCTTTAGAACCTGTACGTGAACTTGTGCAGACCGCCAAGCCTGGGTGCTTCAGAGATACTCTTCTGCATTTTAACAGGTTACTTTGTTTGTAGTATCTATACAAAGCAGTTAATATTGTGTTGTTTTCTTAGGTCACTGTCAACGCTGGGATTGGTTATATCATCGCTTGCTGACCAATCAGCGGGAAAGGGAAAAAACAAGTTTGTGCCTTATAGAGACTCTGTGCTCACTTGGCTTCTCAAGGTAATGGCATGGTCTCACTTTCACCTTTGACAAACTGATCTTATTGTGGTTTGGGATCTAAGCCTGCTGTTCCACACACACACACCAACACTTGATTTTTAATACGCCAGAGAAGTGGTTACCAACTTTTCAGACCTGTAAGCTGGAGAAACCAGGCTCACATCAGAAACAGGCCAGTGTTCTGACTTGACTGCTGTGACTGCAGCTTTTCCCTGCTGCTATTTTTCCCTGCCGCCAGCTACAGCACAGGTGCATCTCCTCACTGTGCAGGCAGAGGCAAAGTCCCCTGTTGCTGGAATGTCACTGAAGCCCCTTGGCTTCATGAACCAGACCCAGTGGTTCTGCGGGCTGTATGTTGCCAAACCCTGGACTAGGGAGCTATTATAAGTGTAAGCTATTCCTAATACTGTAGAAGCTAAAACCTATTGTGCTGTTTTTGCTCAGACTGCAGTGGTATTTTGACCAACTGTATATCATTCACCTAAATCTGTAGTGGGATTGAGTCAGGTGCAGAGACCTCCAAATTGTTCATAGATCAGAGGTTAACTAAACAAACCACTTTGGTATCTAATAGGGGTCTGTGCAACAGGCCCTATTCCATTCGGATTTGGCCCAAATTGGGAATGGTGATTCGATTCATTGATTTAGATCACTGTCCCCAATTTGATTTGGCCAAATTGGAATCTGAAGGTTCAATGCTGATTTGGAGAATCACGTGCTTGGTGGCGAATCACCTGCTTGGTGGCGAACCTGAAAGTGGACCAGAAGTACTTCCGGTTCACTTCCAGGTCTGCTGGCAACGTTCCCCCTCCTCCCCAGTGTCCCCCCCATCTCGGCAGTCAGCTGCGGGAGGACCCCAGGTGCCTCCTCCAGACCCTGGAGGCACCAGTTGCTGAGCCAGGGGCCGTGGGGGCGCCCCCAGTGCGTTCTCCTGCAGACCCAGAAGTGAACCAGAAGTGCTTCTGGTCCACTTCCGGGTCTGCTGCTGAGCACACTGGGCAGCCTCCTGTGCTCCTGAGGGATGCTTCATCCACCCCAGCATCGCAGCTATCATGAGCTGCGCCTGCTACCTTGAGGTATGTAGAAAAAACATTTAAAGCTGTGTCTATTTACAAATCGGAAATCTTTCTGAATCTCTCCAATTTGATTTGTAGGGTTACAATTTGATTCGGAGAGATTAAAGGGTCCTCTGATTCGATTTGGATTCGGAGATTTGGCCACTGAATCGGGTCGAATCTCTGCCAAATCAAATTGGGGATCGAAGCTTCGCATAGCTCTAATATCTAATAAGAGGTGTAATTCATATTTCAGATTCTTTCTTTACAAAGGCATATTATGATCACAGAGTATATAAAATGCTTTGTATAATCTGTTTTATATGCCTCAAGCTTTCCATGAATGTGCACTACAGGATAACTTGGGAGGAAACAGCCAAACTGCTATGATAGCCACGATTAGTCCAGCAGCAGACAATTATGAAGAAACTCTCTCCACACTGCGATACGCAGACAGAGCCAAAAGGATAGTCAATCATGCTGTGGTCAATGAAGATCCAAACGCAAGGGTCATCCGTGAGTTACGTGAAGAAGTGGAAAAACTGAAGGAGCAGCTGTCACAAGCTGAGGTAAAATAATTGTTGCTCTGTGTAGACAGAACTCGTATAGGAAATGTCATGTCATAATAGGAATGTCATTCTCTGTGTAATTTTTACAAATCATGGAAAGGGTGCTTGCTATGTTGATTTTAAGTAATTAATTTGTTTTCCTGAAAAAGTTCCAGCAGACGCAGAAATATTTGTTTATGAACCCCTTGCGAGCAGACACAGGACTGGACAGAAGATGGATCTTGCTAAGTTAAACTGTTTCTGAGGAATTAAGCATAAAAGGAAAATTGGTTGCAATGTAATACAACACAGACTGGATCTAAAGATATATAGAGTTTTATAGCAAGGGTAGATTTTCAGGGGTCCTTTTTTGAAGGGTAGGATGCAGCTTAGTTGTGCAAAATAGGGAAGTATGAAAGGCATTAAGTCAGAGATAAAACATGTGCACTTCTGCATGCTTGTTTCCATATTTTGTTTCCCTCAGAGACTAAGGTCATTGGGGTACAGACCATCTTTCTATTCAATATGTTTGGCACTCAGAAATCATTGCCAAGCACTACTGTATTACAAAAATAAGAAGTAGCTTTGGCAAAGCATAAAGAAAAGGAACAGATGAGATTAAAGTAGATCTGGCGGTAGATTTGTGTGGCATTTAGAATGCAAAAAAGAACAGCTCTATCTTAATGCAGAAAGTGGTATAAGTTTATAAATGAGAAAACTGAAAAATAGGAAATAATGAAAACTTGATCACTTTAGCCCTAGAGGTTGTTGTTTAGTTTTCCACAAATATAAAATGTAATTAAGCTTATGTACGTCAGGCCAACTCTTCCAATTTGAGAATGGAGCCCTGTAGATGCAACTTCAGTGCTGATGCATAGTACTTCAGCTTGTGCAAATCTGTTCTGTCACCTCAGCTGGGAATCCATTCAGCCTATTCACTGAAGAAAAAATTAGTCAAATTTTATCTTGGCTCGGCTTGGCTCATTAGAGAGGCTGTTATTGATCCAGGAGCTTGCTAAAACCATCTAGAACAGGAAGTTATTTTATGCATCATGAAGTAAGGGAAGCTCTTAAGATTATTTCAGTTTTTCTTCTTGACATCAAGGCTATGAAGGCACCAGAGCTGAAGGAAAAATTGGAAGAATCTGAAAAACTGATAAGAGAATTAACAGTCACCTGGGAGGAAAAGCTAAGGAAAACCGAAGAAATTGCACAGGTAGGCCAGAGGCAAGAATTTCTGCGGGTGATATTTTTTTATTGGTAGGCCAGAACATTTTGTATACTGAAGGCCACATGTTCAGCTAGTGTAAATTATCTCAGCCCAGTCATTTTCAGTGCACCTATACTGATTTACACTAGCTGGATGTTGTTCTTTCTTCCTTTACTTTTGTGAGTCCCTCTGTTTGATCTTTCATGCATTCTTGGTATTGTCTATTGTCTCATGGCCTCATTTAACCTTATGAGGCACACTGTGGTATGCTAGAACAAACAATTTCATTAGAGCAGATTTAGTGGGCTCTTTGCTGTGACTGCTAAAAAAATAATTTTGTGAAATAAGAGCAAATGTTAAAGTGCGTAGGCAATTGCAAATTTAAAAGACCACTACATGAACTTGAATAAAATGGATAGTCATACCTTAATACTCTCTGGACTTCAAAGGAGACGGGATTTCTCCAAGTGCAGTCAGCCATTTCCGTGAGCTGTGAGCTTTTGACAGTTCCCTAAATCTACAGGGGCTCTTAAAAGTAAAGAACAAACATAAATAAATGTATATACTTGTGTTGCTAATCTTGTCTTTGCCTGAAAAGATGCTAAGATTCAGGTTTGCTTTCTGAAATTTATGCTATGTGTTTGTAACTTGTGAAGTGAATGAGTCAGTTTCCTTTTCAAGCCCTCATCAAAAATATGCTGTTTGGTTTGTAACCTTTTAAAAAGAACATTTGCATCTAGATACTTTTGCTGAATTAGTTAGAAAATTGTGGAAATATTTCTATCAACATTAAGTATTTTGTGGCCCCTTAAAAACCAAAGAAAATCTCATCTGGTGACGTGTTTATTTCTCCACTGTTTGTTTGCACATATTGACACACATTTGCAATGGGAATTCATGAAATCTGATTCTGAAACTCATATAACTAGACCTACTGAGATTCATGGGACTGCTCGCATAAGCAGGTGCTTTTCAACGTGAGTAATCATTCAAGGATTAAGCTACAGTACATAACAACATCTTGTAAAAGAATACAAAGTGCAGCCATCTTTTTTAGCTAGTCCTTTCCCTGCAACTTAGGGTCAACAATATTTTCAGTAGCGGTGTTCAGTGTATAGCTAGATTACTATTCAGTTACTCTTTGGTCTTGTTTACTTACTATTGTTTCTGTATTGTCTTGGTAAACTACAGTAGTTGATCTTAAATTAGCCTTTTTATATGTTTATAGGAGAGGCAAAAGCAGCTAGAGAGCATGGGAATTTCCTTAGAATCCTCTGGTATCAAGGTTGGGGATGACAAATGTTATCTGGTGAATCTGAATGCAGACCCTGCCCTCAATGAACTTTTGGTTTATTATTTAAAGGTAAGCGTGGAAACAGGATACTGACCTTTAACAAATCATACATGAGAGCAGTTGATTCTCCTGGATTTTTATTTTAACTTTGGAATGAGTTGGGCGTTTAGAATGATGGACTCATAAGACTAGTTATAAGGTTAAGCATAGAAAACAAGGCTGCTTGCAGACATTAAAAAACCCCCAAACAAACAGTGCTTTACTTTAAAAACCATGTGCTCCTGCCCTGAGCCCAGTGCATGCCCAAAAGAGGCAACACGTTAGTTGGGCATTTTCAAGGGGCTTTTTTGGTGTTCTTATCTAAAAGCTGATTGCATCAGCTTTGGATAAAAGTGCTAAAAGGCCCCGTTGAAGTGCCCAATCTATACAGATGCTGTAGAGTTTGGTCAAAGTAATGCACTACTTCTGGTAAAGCACTTAAAAAAACCCAAACAAACAAACAAAAAAACAACCAAACAAACAAACAGCCTAAGAAGCCTGATTCTCTTTTTATTCTCTTCCATTCTCTCTTGCATTTCAGCTTCATTGATTTTGGTAGATTGGCTCCTAGTTTCCTCAGGGTGGGATGAGAATTGGTCCAAGCGTGGGTGTTATATAAATTCTTATGGTCCAGTTTTCCATTTGATCCCTAAATTGGGTACACAAATAGGTTATTGTGGGGTAAATGGAGAGTGTTACATTGTATCATCTGTTCTGCATTAACTCTCCATATCCATCTCTTACCCCTTGTAAATGAGAGCTAACACATGGTAGCTATAAATTGTGCCCAAGCACCAGCAGGTTGATGTGAGCCCCTGCTTTCCTACCTGCAAATTGAGAATTGTATTTGAGGTATGAAATCTGGGAGTTATAGTCTAACTGGTGAAACTGTCTGGTTTATAAACCATATTGTTATACGTTATTTCTAAAACAAGCAGCTTGGGAATATCCAGAAAGGGCTTCAACTTTGAAGTGATCTAGTAGACAGAATGTCATGGAATTCCATGTAAGTCCATATCAAGTGCTCTGTGTGGGTTCTCTCTTGCCCTCCAAATCCCTCCCCTGCCCACCTCAGCCCTGCAAACTCAGCCCTGCAAACTCCATTGGACTGAGAGTCAAGGTGGTCCCCTTTATGTATTGTAATAAAAAGTAAAGATTTACAGTCACAATTAAAGTCTGAGTTTCAGTAGTGCGACTCCATTGTCTTCCATGTGTTTGTACATGTATAACTGAAACTTGGGACTGGATTCTACCTATACTGTATTGTTTTTTCCAGCAGAAGTGAAATATTAAGCTAATATGCAATAAAAATAATAAATGAAATATGTAAATTGGAACTCATTGGTCAGTCCCTGTTTTATGCTCTTTTAAATACTGCAGAGATGAAATCCTGCATAGAACAATAAGTAGTCGTATTTGTAGTACTTCAGTTGTCAGATTGCATCTGAATTATGTAAATGAATAACTTTTGACTCTTAGTGATTTTTTTTTTTCATGATGATCTGTAACACAGGATCATACGCGAGTTGGTGCAGATACCTCTCAGGATATACAGCTCTTTGGCATAGGAATCCAGCCAGAGCACTGTGAGATTGACATTGCACCAGATGGGGAAGTTACCCTCACACCAAAAGAAAATGCAAGGTACAGAGGTTCAGCATAACTTAGCCTATGCAGTATTTGCTTCTTAATACTGGAAGGTGACTTTTGATACTTTCTGGTTTCACTGTGTCAGGTATAATGTGTACTGAATTTGACAAGTAGGTTCAATTTGGATGACTTCAGCAAAACACTGAAGTGAGATATACTTGTGCACAAAGGAGCTTTGTGCTGTCTGTATGTTGGCTCTGAATAACCCATGTTATAGGGTGTGTGGAACAAGGAGGGACAGATAATTACTTATATGGATCCTTTGCCATAGGCTTTGGGCTTTGTGAGAAGAGAGATATGAATTCATCCTGAGAATGATTGTCAGGTCCAGTAAACAGGTCCCAGGTTGTTTTTCTCTCATTTGTTTCATTATTGTAGTAACATTCTGTATCTAGGGAATCATTTCTAGGGGATATAGGGAATCATTTCTTCTTTGCTGAAGCTTGAAAAGTCTCTCAGCTTTGTACTATCACCAAAAGCATGTAATAATTAATTACAGAAGTACCACTTCTGTAGTCTCACTGCTTGCTTATTATCACTGTTAAGAGGTATAATTTAGGAAACAAAAGTGAGATCTTTGCAATTTTTCAAGCACTTCTCCCTGTACTTGCTATAAAGTATATTGTAGTCCATATATCATAGTGCTGTAGACTCATGGACAAAATTCCAAACAGATGGGATTCAGGCTTATGGTGATGGAGTTACAGTAGTAGGGGTTAGTCATTTAGACTGGCAAGAACAAAGGAGCATGTCAGTGGAAAAAATGTATAACAAAATATGTTTTCCTTTATTTGTGACTGGTCTGAAATGTTTACGTAGGTGTTTCTAGGCTATTTATATCAACATCAACTTTGAAACTCTGGTAACAACTTAAGCAGAATAGCTTGTTTGATATCTAAGACTTACGATGACTTGAAGTACAAAACTGAATTTAGAACTGAATCTGAAAAACTGTATTCATCTTACCACATTACATTTGGGGGGAAAATGTCATCTTCATAAGCAAACACTTTTTTTCTCTGTCTTTTTTGAATAAAGCTGAAATACAGATACATGTCAGTGCAAATGCTGTGTTCCAAATTTTTACAAAAATAGAATCTTGTTACTGATAGCTTAGTTTATAAGAAGAATGAACTTCAGTGATGTAAGACGGACATAGTTATATACCTAAATAAATTATAGACTGATGGTAGCAAGTTTAGAAATATTTTGCATTAGACTAATCTGTTTCTTGCAAATAGGAAAATAACAATGTATAAGCTTTCTCAGCAGGGTTTGCATGTAACTAAGTTCACAGACTGTTTACAATGAGCAGACTGTGACCCAGTTTCTGGAATGTACATGAGGTTTTCTTAAACTGAGGTTGTGAAGCTGAAATGGAATCCTTGTCCCCCTACTGTTTCAGTGAAGAGCTACAACATCAAATAGTTTTTTTAAAAACAGTGGGAAACAGTTTTTCATGATTTATTGTCACATGTATCCTTTTAAATTAAATCTTACTAAGTCGTGTGTCGTGTTACATATGAACTTGCATAGGTGAGAAGAACAGACTGCTTATTTTTGTAGGTGTCTTTTCATCTATAATTTCTGGGATTTTGCCAAGGTTGTCTTTTGTTCTTGCAGATCCTGTGTGAATGGTGCACTGGTATGTTCTATCACACAGTTGTGGCACGGCGATAGAATACTGTGGGGAAACAACCACTTTTTTAGGTAATAACTATTCACTTCTTCAGCCCCTTTATTTTCTTACCTGTTTTTTTTCAATGCTACTGTTTTTAAAAGCTTTTAAGAAGTCACTTTCAATTTTTTAACCAGAATCAACCTGCCAAAGAGAAAGCGACGAGATTGGCTGAAAGATTTTGAAAAAGAAACTGTATTAGCAGAACATGATCTGGATGCAGCCAGTGAGGCTTCTTCAGAACCAGATTACAACTATGAATTTGCACAAATGGAGGTTATAATGAAAACACTGAATAGTAATGGTAAGAGAATGTCCAGGGTGTGTGAAGTAGAAACCTAGTTTGGATCCAGTTGGAACCTTGTCCAGATGTTTGAGCTTACGATGTGCTGGATCTGACCAGTGGTCTGTCTAGACTAGAGTAGTTTCTCTTGACAGCTCCTAGGTGCTTCAGAGATGGGTAAAATAAACACCCTTATAAATAATTATAGAATCAACTGCCCATTGATTAGAAAGAGACTACCTAGTTAATTTAATGGTTAGTTTCTGCCCTAAAGCATAGTGAGTTCATGGCTATACACATGATTATCCTATGTGATATAACTGAATGGTGATCAGAGAGGGATGGCTTATACTTTCCTAAATTCTGCTAAGCTCCTGCCTACAATGAGTTGTGGAAGTAAAATGATGTTGTAGGTCAGAGCTGTCTAACTTCTGAGTAGCTGGGGGCCACAAGCTTTGTGGCCACATTCTGTGCAGGCTGCCTGTCTACTTCTTCCACTCTCTCCCATCCCCACTGTGCTGCATGAATACCTTTGCACCTGGAACACTGCACCGCAGCACACCATGTGCCCACCCACTGCTGCACCCTGAGGCAGCCCCCCTACACACACACAAGCCCACTGTACTGTACCAGCACGGCATAGGGGCCCAAGATCTCCTGCAAGCTATCCAGCCATGGGAGACCTCATCCCCATGCATTGTACCGGGGTGAGGGCAAGTTGCAGTAGCTGGAGGAGGAAAGAGGAGCCCAAGGACAGCAGCAGCTGGAGCTGTCAGGGAACAGTATCCAGTGGGGGTGGGGATGATTGCTGCAGGTTAACCCTTTGGAGGCCAGATGTGGCCCACAGGCTTCCAATTGGATGTTCCTGTTATAGGTAGAGCTTCAATTTATGGCAAAATTGTGTGCTGGATAGTCAAGTCAGAAGAGGTAATGAAGAGCCTAATTTCATGGCATGTTTTTGCAGTTACCTTATATAAACACATGTGCTGAGCAAAAGAGAAAATACCTTGCCTTTTATGCCACTATTAAAGAGAAAAATTAGTTGGTGTGTCAGTGGCAAAATCTTCGTGCCTCATCTTCTCTTGCTTTCCCTCCTCCTTTTTCCTAGTCTATCAGCACAGTAATGGTACATTGCCTGTTGTGGTTCATTACCTGTTGTGTTTCACAGTTATTACCAGAATACGTTATTTACAGTTCTCTTAGCTACTTCTTTGTTTTGTTATTTTTTTTGTTGAATATAGCATAATTTCATGCTTCACTGATTTTTATTATATAAATAGCTCAGTATATTTTAGGGACTGATTCTGCAAGCCTTCCTTACATTAGTAATTCCATTGACTTCACTGGAACTGCTTGTGTTGTAGAATCAGGGCTTTTAATTTATGCAGATTACTTTTTCATCATGGAGATATGCTCATTCTGGTTCACCCATGCTAGGAGGAGAATTTCAGATGAATTTGCCCTCTTGGTGGTCTTCAGTATTGTCATCCTTCATGACGACTCTGTTTCCTGTCTTAATGCCTCAAACCATCACGTATTTGTGCCAAAACTGGAACAAAGGTTTTAAATTTGATTGGCTCATGCATGAGGCTCTTGGACTAATTTGAAAGCATTAATTGATGCTTGAACTGCTTGTCACTAACCAGGGATGCAAATAAGTTATAGAGGTCTACAACGAATCAGTGTTCTGTGATTTAAGGGGCATGTCTTTTGAGTTTCTTTTGCTGTAACTAGCTACTGTAAATTATGTCCCAAAATATCTCAAAAGTATGAGAAACATATTTTAGTCCATTTGTCTCCTCTGAATGGAATCCATGATTATTTTTGTCCTGGCCTGTTGTATTTTGGATATCCTCACTGAAAAATAGTGCAGATTTTCCTTTCGTTAATGTTCTTCTCCCCCCCAATCCAATACACAACAGATAATGACAGTCATAGATGGTGCATAGCTCCAAAATGCATGCTAGCTGTATATTTAAGTAATATGTTTGTTCTAAAAAACTGGGGAAAAGTAACTGTGAGAAGCCGTAATTAAAAATCTCATTCTTTAGACTCTTTGGAGAGAAAAATGAAAACTAAAGCAGTATTTTCTTTTACTGTCTTCTCTGTTTTGTTGTTGGGTTTTTTTTAAGATCCCTTTTAAATAAATGTCTTGCCCTTTAGAGGACAAAGTCACATGACAAATTTATCCTCCATAAACATAGTAACAAGGTCATGTATCACATCTGGTACTAGTACAGCTCTGAGGAAAGGGCAGAACTGTGAAGACCACGTGGGTGAGCCACTGAAGTGCATTTTTCTCCTCAACACACTGATTTCCCTTTTGAGATTGTGACAGCTCAGCTTTGTACCACAGATTTGTAACACTGGTCTAACCACCAGTACAGCATAAAAGTCTGCTTTATATCCCCGCATAGCTTTTAGTGGTTCAATAAATTATGTGGTTAGTTTGAGGGGCCTCCCAATTAGATTGGGTTTTTTGGTTTGTTTGTTTTGGGGTTTTTTTAATACAGTTCACCGTGAGGATTTTCCAGTACAGCTTAATGAAGTAGTGCATTCATTCAGCTTCTCTCAGATGATAGTTTGGGTCTGACAAGTGTTCAGATACATTCATTTAAATCATTTTATTTATCGTCATTATTGGGTTAATGTCACAAGCTCATGAATGAAGTGACTTTTCAAATGGAAATGAAGCACAGCACTGCTTTGCAGAAAGTACATACTGTATTTACTTGAATATAAGGTGACCCTGAATGTAAAACAACCCCCATAATGAGGTTCTGTATATGGAGATTTTATAAATTTGTTATAACTTTCAAGGTATAGAATCTAATTATTGGAAACTGGCCTGAATGTGTCCCTCTCCCAGTGCTGCAGCAGGGAAAATAAATCTGGGGGAGATCAGGTAGCTCCCTTATTTCCCCCAACCTTTTCCTCCTGCAGCCCTTTCTCACCTCCTTACTGGCAGACCCTGCTCTTCCTGACCACATGAAAATGAGGGGCAAATTTGAAAACACTGACCTTGAAATAAGCATGCCTTGCAGTCATTTGTATATAGTACCCCATTTACTCAGTTCATCCATAATTGATGCATATTACACTTTTTAAACTGCTGCAAATTTTAGCATAAGTACTTCATAAACTCACTTTTGAACAGCACTTCTATACTTATTCATACATGGTACATACTATACATGGTATTAGTCCAAAGCCAAAATACATGATTATCATATAGTTCATTGGGCTGGGCCCCTGCAGAGTCAACAGCATTTCAAGCCATGGCAACCCCGCAGCTCAGCACTGCTCAGTATGCGTGTGTACCACAGGTACCCCACACCCCACCAAGGATCTAATTAGCACCCCCACTCCTGACTGGAATGGGATGTGTTCTTGTCACAAGTCTTGGGATCCTCCAGAGATTTATATGCAGATGAGGTACAAGGCGACCTGCTCTGGCTCCACTTCATGGAGGGTGGACCCACACTAATCATATGGGACAGGCTGAGAGAAGAGGAGGTGACAGAGGGATTCTGGGTGAACTGTTTGGGTCTCTGTTTGGTGATGTTTGCCAGACATTTAAGGCTGGTGAAGAAACAGGAATCATTGGGAAAGGCCCAGCTCAGCTGTGAGAATGAAGATGAAGATGAAATATATGCAGTGTAGTGGCTAACCATGACTTGAAAAGGAGTTGGCGCTGAGTGAGACTGTTCTCAACAGGCACTACCATATACCTTATTCATGTAGGCTCCACTAACCTATTTTTGTGGTAAGTTCCCATCAGCTTCTCGGCCTCTGAAGGGCTCAGATCAAGTGTGTATACTTGTCTGGCAGAGGAAATACCATGATCACCATGGTGGCTTCCTAGTTGCGCTTGGGGAAGACCGCTCTGCTGGCACAGGATATTACCCGCATAGGTAATGCATAGTTAACCATGGCTTTATGCCCACTTTATAGAAATGGGAGACTCTTCCTTAGCTTGTTCCTGGGGCCTTATGGCTAAGGGCAAGCAAAATTTGGGGACATATGAACCCCAAACCTCTGGGTTGGGGCCTGCAAGTAGAATGTCTGCCAAAGGATTTGGGAACATCTGAAGCCCCAGATGGGGGTGGAGGATGTTTGCTGGTAGTAGGGCCACAAATGGTTCTAGACTGACTCTCAGATTTGAAATTTGTTTTGGCTAATTTGGCTTGGAATATGGAAAATTACAGTTTAAAAAAAAAAAAAAAAGTTGCCATCAGCATGTTTGCTCCATATCAGCCACTTGTTTTATAGTCATACTTAATGTTGGCTGCATTTAAATCAGCTTCATAGTTTATTTCTGTGACTGAGCACATGTTGCTTTTGGCAACAGTTTCATATAGACAGGGCACATCTACACATCACTGTATGGTGACATTGCTACAGCACCGTGCTTTAGTACTTCCTTTTGGAAGTACTAAGGTATGGTGCAGTACGGGCGGGTACTGCAGAATGCGTATGGTAAATTTCACTGCTATGTCACTGTAGCAGTGTGCTATACCCAGGGAGTACACCACTACAGCAACATAGCTGGTGATCACGTGTAGACCTGCGTAATCGCTGTGTCTCCATAGTGCACCATACAGCGATGTAGCACATCACTACATCTTTGTAGGGTGACATGTAGATGCATGCACAGTGAATTTAATGAGATTTCCTTGTGTGCGAATGTAAGATAAGGAGCTTTTCCCTTAATGCTGATTTGAGGGGTGGAGACGTCATCTTGTATTCCAGTAAATATGGTATTTTTTTTAATATTCAAAGTTCCATGTTTCCATTCTTTCAAACACTTGATCAAGTAACTTTCTTTGTGCGAGTCTTTTAAGGTCTGAAGGGCTGCTTTGTATGCATAAAGGTTTCCAGGATTAGGGTCTTTAATACAACAGGAGAGCCATTTAAAAGCTAGTAAACTGGGTAAAATCTTCCTTAGGATGCATGACTCCAGATTGAATTAAATAGGGCTTAAATCTTGCTTGTTGTCTAATGTATGCTTTCTGAATTGGGGAGAATTTACCATTTATAATGCATTCCATTACTTTTGATGGTAGGTAGCTATAAATTGAACCATTTTGGCCTTGGTTTTCAAATTTTGAGGTTTGTGGTTCTTCTGCATGACTGTGTTCATTTTGGAGTGTTTTTTGCAAGCCATATTGGAGCTTTTAATATTGAAATGTCAAATGTAAATGCTCATGTGCTTCTTAATTTGGTTTCAGCTGAAACTAAAAATGCTACTTAAAATTGGAAAACTAGGTACCTTCTGTAAAGTATATTTAATGGCATAGTTTAATCCCATTTGATAAATTTCAGTGTGATCCTTTAGCTACAGGTAGTTGGAGGGATCTCTCAGGTGAGCATTATGAAGCTCCATTTTCTGGCATCAGTTATTTATTTGAGTAATTTAAGAAATCCTTGTCTCAGTGACTCATTCCTATAATTCTTTCCCATCTTTTCAAACATAGTAGAAATCTCTTTAACCTCTTCCATGCTTGTCCTCCTTGTTCTGTGTAACATTTAATATCCAAATCACTCTTCTATAAATCACTCTTCTAGCTAGTTATAACTTTAAAATATTATAGAGATTATGCAGTAAAATCTGGAGAATGTGAAAATAATTCTTTGCATATTCAGAAGGTATCTAGTCTGAGTATCACAGGCAGGCATGTGAACAATTCAATTTATATGCTTGAGTACCAGAACTCAGGTCAATCAGTAATCCCTTTTTCTTCATTTATATATCTAGAAGTTAAGAATAACTAACCTTTTTCCAATGAGAATGCAAATTCTGACTAGTTGTGAATGGAAGCTGCTAAAAAATAACAGTTGTGGCAGTTTGGAGACATTTTATTGCCATGGTGCTCGGTCTTTTGTCCCTGAGGCCAGATGAGTCGTGTGGGGCTGGTCCACGGACTGGTTCAAGTCCTGTGTGTCAGCATCAGAGCCTAGGGCTTGGCATAGCCCCCTCCCTGTCCCAAGTACTGAGATTGGGCCATGAGACCCAGCACTGCTCCCTCCTCCCTCTCTGCACCATGATTGGGGCCCCAAGGGCCCAGTGGGAGGCCCTTCCTCCCCCATCCCAGCACTGGGGCCCAGCACTGCCTCCTGTGCCAGGATCAGGGCCTGGGGTCTAGCACTGCATATGCCTAGCTTTGTGCATTGAGATTGGGCACACAATCCAACATGAAGTACTTGGGACTCCTGGTGAGTCTGCAAGTTTGGTAGCAAGGAAATGGTGCCACCACTCCCCTGCTGCCAAATTTCTGGACCTATGGGGAGCTCCAAGGGCCAAATTTGGCCCTCAGGCCAGGGTTTGAGCACTCATGCTTTAAAGAATTTTTCAGGGTCCTGAGAAATGTATAGTATATATACTGAGCAAAATGCCAGGTGGTGGTTATTTACTTTGGAGTGGATCCTTGACTATTCCTGATTAGTATAGATCATGGATTTGTTCTTTTTTTACCCACTACTGTCCATTACATTCCTCTAGTACAGGGAAAATGAAGGTTTTTTCTCTCTCTAATTTATCTCTTCCTTCCTTAGCATCCTCTTCCATTCTTTTCTTACTGTTATTTCCTTGCTCTTGTTGACTCACACTCTTCTTCAGTGTTCCTGTCCTAACTTCCATGGTGCTCCATATTATTATTATTTTTTAAATCAAGAGTAGAACTAATATAATCAAAAGATAATCAAGGTCATCTCTCAGCTGCCACTCCTCCCACCTCCTCTGTATGCTCTGTCCTTTTTGCTGTGTGTATCCATTCATTTTGGCTTTGGTTTGTAAATTCAATCCCTTGGATAAGTGCCTGGCATACACTCAGTGTTATTGCACCATGGTGACAACAGTTGAACTCTGGTGTTGACATGGTGTCCTTTTATTTCTTCCTTTGGCAGACCCGGTTCAAAATGTGGTCCAGATACTGGAAAAACAGTACCTGGAAGAGAAGCGGAGCGCTCTTGAGGAGCAGCGGATGATGTATGAGCGTGAACTAGAGCAGCTGCGACAGCAGCTCTCTCCAGAAAGGCAACACCAACATGGCAGTGACCAGCTCTCGTACACAGCTCAGTCTGTACAGCAGAAAGTAAACCTCTGGACAGAAGAGAGGTGAGAATGCAGGAGTAAAAACAAAGAATGAATGAGAAACACAAATGAGAGAGGTGGTGCATTGAAGGGTAAGGTGACCAAGCTTTCCAGAAACAGAGACATCGTATCTAAAGAGAGGATGGAATCAAACGTGCAAGATCAAGCTTTACCAAGTGTTAGGTGCTATCAGTGCACATATCACTGTGGGAACACAACTCTGCAACAAGGATCTAACTATATTTCAAGCACAGACAGACTTCAGAAACATAGGATGCACAGAATCTCAGATATTGACTCTCATTTTGTGCGTGCTTTAGTTTCTAAAAGTAGATTGGTCTTTAAAAAAGTATTGGTGCCAGACTTCATATACAGTAGATTTTAGGTGGGACTTGGAGTAAAAAGGAGAGGTTTAGTTTTTGAAATGGAAGAAGAAGTCTCAAAGACAAAGCATGTATGAGAGTTTCTCAGATGACTGGCAGGAGTTAGTTCTGGAAGGAGAGTTTAGGAAGTGGGGGAAAGAATAAGTGGAGGTTAGGCAGGGGTAGGGCTGTGTCTTGAAAATGAGAGAGTTCTCTTGTTATAAAAGGTCAGAGGAAGCCTCTTAAATTAAAAAAGGGGGAGTCATATGGTCAGTAGCATCAGAGCAATAAGATTTCAGCTGTGGCATATTGTTGTAAACAAATTACTAGTCTGTTCTTAGGTCTGTTTCATTCACTGGGAGAAGTGTCTAGATGGACTAAGGTCTTTTCCAACTCTGTTTTCTGCAAATGCTTATTTACATTCCACAACAGAGACTTCATTATTCACTGAACTCTCTTTTTTATACATGCTAACTTTGAGTACTCCCTTCTATTTTGGTGTTCTTCCACCTCTCCCGTCAAAAGTCAATCTAAAAGAAAAGCCTAAATATAATTGTGTTGCATTATTCAGATCCAGAATGTAGGAAACAGAAAACAAGACTCAAAATCTAGTGCTGTAAACTGTTTGTTTTGTGCTTAGTTTTTGTTCTGTCTTACTTTCAAAGTTCATAAGTTGTGCCAAGTTTGGCATGAGAAAAAAAACTTTTCATCCAGTAACCAGTGATGACTAGAAAGTTTTCTTTGGCCAGTATGGGGGAAAATGGTTGTTGCTTTAATTAAAACAATTCCTTTATATCTGTAAGAGCTGGAAGCAGAACTTTGAAGTGCAAACAGAAATAATGGAGTCTCAGGAAAATAATGGAGTCTCATCCTCCTGAGTTTGCAGATAGTTTTAGTGCTTTTAGGGCTCTTCATAGCTTTGCCAAGCGGCTGCATATTAAAATAAGCAAGGCTTTGGTTAGAGCCACTGCTTCTATTCAGAACTGGTCAGCAAGTGAAGTGGTCAGCAGTTCATATCCTTGAAATGGTCTTGCTGCTTGGGGAATGCTTTGAGAAGTAGTAAGAACCTCCTTTTTTCCCTCTGCTTCTCATAGCAGGCAGAGTGCTCTGAAATGGGACAGCAGAAGATGAAATAGATTCAGTTTTAAATGTATCCAATAATTTCTGGCATCAGGCTGATACAAACCCCAAAACAAGACTCAGGATAAACTTCTCAACATCTTACCACCTTGGCAATTGATGTGGTAGAATTGGCTTTGAACCAAAATGTTGCCCTTGGGTTTCACAGCTGGATTTCACTTTCACATCTCTCACATCTTCTGAACTGGTTAATTTCTCTGGATGTTATTCCAGTATAAAAAATACCACCCTTATTAAAAAAACAAAACACATGCAATTTATGCAAAACAAACTCTGGAGTTTATTGCTCCTGGGCATGTCGTTTGAACATGAGCCCAGGAGCTATAAACTCCAGAATTTATTGCCATTTGTATGTGCACCCAAAATTACAGCACACTGAACCAGGGTGGAGCAGCCCCAGCTGGCAAGGGACCTGGGGGCCAGCCTGCCAGCCTGGGGCTGGTACTTTTCAGCTCAGCATGCTGCTTGGGGGCTGGCTGGGGCACAAGGGTGCTTCAGTGGGGGGCTAGCTGGCAGGTAGCCACCACACTGAAGCACCCTCGTGCCCCAGCCAGGTGGGGCATTGTCTACACATGTACTGCTGCAGAGTTTTTTACTCCAAAGCAGGATAGTACTTGTATTTACAAGTACTATCTTGCTGCATAGTAAATTAGTTTTCTCCAGCCTAATAGGGTGCACATGTAGACACCGAGATGTTTACTGCACTAGTCTACTGCGCAGTAAACGTCTCATGTAGACATGCCCACTGACGGCACCAGATTCCAGGCCTCTTTACTAAAGCTGTCCCTGTCCAATCTATGTGTCTTCATAGTATTTTTTATAGGAGAGTTATCAGGGCAGAACTACCTTGTCAGACCTCTTGCAAAGATTAGAGCAATTTTTGCTGATAATTACTGGTTTATCAACTGGGCTGCACTATCCGTGAGATTAAGGAACCTGATAGATCAAAATCAAGCTAAATACCATAAAATGTCTATGTAGCCAAACTACTGACTGCTTTTCATATGTACAGCATGCCCCACAGAACAGTTTTGCCTTTCATCCCAAACTTGTCTCTAATCTCATGTATTCTATGAAAATGAGAATACACCTATACAATTGATTTCAGTAGGATTTTGCATAAAAAGGGCTATACATAGCACAAAGAAGACACTGCTATAGACTAAAGTTTCTGAGACTTGCTTAAAGGTTTTTTGCAGGAAAGTATGTGATACGGTATGCTGTGTGGTAAGTGCTGTTAGGACTTCTGGGTTTCCTAAAGCAAGGCAGAAATCATTGGCTTGTTATCTTTGTAAGATCAAAGAACTACCATGTTAAGATGAAAAATTATTAAAGATGTGGACCTGTATATGAGATGTCCCTGCACTTGTATTACAGATACAAGCATAATAAGAAATATCATGGGAGGTCTGGCTTACCATTTTTCATTTTGGAATAGATTTGTTCAAATGGGTATAGAGACTTGGAATTTGTAGAAAGGGGGTTAGACCCCAGTTGTTTATTTGTGCGTTATTTTCTGTTAATTGCAGGGTACACTTGATATGTGGGATGTAAGATGCTTTATACCAAGAATGACTAAGTGCAGACAACAGGCCTTGGAATTCTACAACACAATAGGGTCTGCAATAGTCTTAGCTTTTCAAATGAAACTGTTAGCCCTGTAGATTTTATAGATTACAATCTGCCATTCCTCACCTTGATCTAAACAGAGGACTTTGTATCGATGAAACCTCACATGTGCTGAGACTACTACACTCTATTAGGAACAACCGTCACACTTTTGGTAGCTAATTACAGTTGGGAAAGATGTTAGACAGGCTTTCAAGTACAAAATGCCCTTCCTCGGATCTGGGGAAAAAACAGCAATAGCCTAAACCAGGGGTTGTCAACCAGGGGTACTTGTACCTCTGGGGGTACTTTGAAAGTTCCTAGGGGGTATGCGGGGGTGGACAGGGTTGGAGCACCAGCACCCCGGGCCGCTGCCTCACGAGAGCAAGGCCGGGACGGGGTGAGAGCAGAGCCACACAGACACCATACTGCTGCTGCTCCACCGTTTGCCACCCCTCCACTCTGCATCCAGGCCACTCGCCATCCCCCGGGGACACACTTATTAAAAAGGGGGCCATTGGGGGTACACACATTTAAAAGGTTGAAAACCTCTGGCCTAAAGTAATTATGAAGTATATGAATTACTTTATTTTACCTGCATAACATAAACAAAAATAGTCACTTAAAGATGGAGAAGTAAACCTGGTGAGTATAGAGATTACATCAGGAAATAGCTGCAGATCAAGGAAAGGGCAGTTGAAATACACAAACCTATTTTTGTAAAAGAATTAAGATCTGTAGAATACAGAGAGGTGGAGTTAGGTAAATTGTAATGAGCCAAAAACCATTGTCCAGGCGCAGTGAAAGGGCATCTTGTCTTGACTAACATCTCTCTCAACTATATAGTTAGTCCAATAAAAGATATTTCCAAAAAAAAATCTTTGCTTCTTGCATGTTCCATAGATCTAAATCTGGCTACAACCCTACTAGTATGTGTTACTTGAAAGCTTTATTTATTTAATTTGTTGGTTTGGGTTTTCTCAGTAAAATGATATATAAAACACCAAGCAATTATACTACAGCATTTCCTCTCAAGATTTGTTTCATAGAAGTCTTGACTGGTCTGCATTCACAACTTTCCAATAATAGAAATAGGTTTCTGTATATCTTTCATGTTACCTACTGCACCACAGGGATGAATTGTTCCGACAGAGCCTGGCTAAACTTCGAGAGCAGATAGTAAAGGCCAATACACTGGTGAGAGAGGCAAACTTCTTAGCAGAAGAAATGAGCAAGCTAACTGATTATCAAGTGACACTTCAGATCCCAGCTGCAAACCTCAGTGCCAACAGAAAGGTAAGGAGCAAACAGAGCAGGAAAAATGCAGCAGCAACTTTAGCTAATCACTGAAATTTGAGCCCGTTTTTGTTTTCAATTGCAGTTGGAAATTGTTTGTTTTTAAACCACTGAAGTATTATGTAGCTGGAGAATAGCATTAAGTATGGATGCTATCAGTCCCTCTCCTAAAAACATATGGCATCCTTATGCTCATGTGACATGAGGGTAAATGTTTGTGTTCTGATGCTGTACTACTAAAAAAGAATTCTGCATTTTTTAAATACATATGGGAAAGGTCTAAAGAGAAAATAGTCTTCTTAAAATACCTAACTCTCACATCATTCCCATATGATTTTGTCCAGTAATATAATGTAGGGTTGAGTGGGGCACTGCCTAAGGGGAGAGGTGCCAGAAGGATGGGGTGCACATCTCACCCTCCTGTCCCCTGCTCCACCTGCACTTCCCAGCTACTGGAAGCAGCAGTACAGGCAATGTGGGTCATGGAGCACAAGGTGGTATAGGAATCGTTGCTTTGTAGAGCAGCAATGAAGTTCACTGCTGTTTGTGGGAGAATGAACCCCATATTTTGCTGCTGAAATTAGCATTTGTTTACTTCCTAGACATGGGCTTCAGTGGCAAAAATTGTGGAAGCTCCCACCCCAGCATTAGCAAACTCCATTGCCACTCTAGAGAACAATTCCCAAAGCACCTTGTACTCTGTGACCCACACTTCCCACACCTGCTGCTTGCTGCTGGTCCCGTGCACTGCCTTAGGTGCATGTTTCGTGTGTTATGCCTTGGATTTTGTCGTGTATTTTACATGGCATATTTGATGTTTCAGTAAATTTTACTGCTCACAGTTAGGATATTACCATAAGCTGCCACAACAAGATTATTCCTATTTAATGTCACTATTTAAAAATAAAGTATTTGAGAAGAATGAAAGGAAGGATCCATTGCGCCTGCACAGCTTTGTTTGCAAAGTTTGCTTACTGTGCAGAAGTATTACAGCTAACATACCAAAGAAAGCCATGTAATCTGTGTGCAGTTACATACTGTGGGAGTATGATTTGAGTGAAAAGTTAGGATATTTAAGGGTATGTTTCTACAGTCAATCATTTCTCTTCTCTGACAGAGAGGGGCAATAGTAAGTGAGCCTGCTATTCAAGTGAGAAGAAAAGGAAAAGGCACTCAGGTGTGGACTATTGAAAAACTAGAGAACAAATTGATTGACATGAGAGACCTGTATCAGGACTGGAAGGAGAGAGTTCCAGAGGTATTTAAAATACATATAACTTGACCATTTTTTAAAATATCTGTTTTCTTCTCACCTCTTCACTCTGTTTTTATAGGTACAATACAGTGAGTGCAAGAGTGTGTGTGTGTCTTTGTATATTATTTTGGATTATATCATAAATTACACTGCACAAACAAGGGTGTACAAGGAATACCTAACACAGAGTACACATTCCAAAGAAGGAAAAGACAGCATTTCTGCTACAACTATACCCTCAAATATTTTTATACCAATCCAAATCATATCATGTTAGTTGGAGTTCTTTTGGATAGAAGATATTTCTTTATGTAATCATGAAGTTCCATGAAGGCATATCTCTTACTGATAAAATTCCAATTAATGTGACATCAGTGGGTAAGTCAGAGCAGAGCACCAAGAAAATGCTGTTTTTGGCACTCTGTATGGCACTAGTTAGAGTGTACTGTGCCATATAGACTGCTCAGAGCGTAAAGTGCACATATGGGGGCAGAGCTTGATCCTAAAACTTTAAGTCTGTCTCAGTTGTGTATCCTTTAATCATAAAGCAGTAGGAGAATTATTCTCCTAGTTTGGCTTGATATTTGCAGATAACTAAAATATCAAGTTGGCTGTAGGTCTTTATTTTTTTCTTCTTTTTTTTTTTAAAGAAAAAAATAATTCTTATGCATAGAAATCGCTTCTATATTATAATATCAGTAATGCTTGGCTCACTTCACCTAGCAAAAGACTGAAATAGGATTTAACCGCTCATGAATGTCTCCTTTAAATAGCCATGTAGGAATGTAAAAGAGGGTGTCCTGCTACCACATGGCTGATAGGGAGAGCACAAATCCCTTTGCATGGAATATAATTCTCATACCTGCTTGAGCAGTTGCTTTGTTCTTTTGTATTATAGCACCTTTAGGCAGCAGAATAAGAATGTATTAATCATATTTGTAACAGGAGAGAGCCTTTGGGCTTGATTTTGCAGCCATTAAAGTCCACGAAAGTGTCATATCAGTAGGCACAGTTTATTTTTAAAATATGTTAGTGTATTCTGTTAGCCCATCCAGTCCTTCAAGCATAGTAACAATATGATTTAAACCTTTTTCTTTTGAGTGGAAAAGGGAAACGCAGAATGCAAATGTCTTGTACAGCTAGAGTGGAATACAGCTCTAGGGATTCTTAGCATGAGTTGGGGGCTGAGCCAGAAGATCTGTCTGTGTATATGGAGCGGTCACATAAAATAGGCTGCAGAACTTGTATCAGGAGAAGTAAGGGAACAGTTGCAGGCCCATGCATGATCCCCAGCAACCAGCTCAGTTGTTCAGGTTGGGCACTGAGAAAAGAATTTGGTTTGGCGGGGGGGGTTGTTTTGTTTTGTTTTTAAATAAAAACATTTTCAGATGAGATGTAAGCTGGTGCAACTTTTGGAAGTCAGTAGAATTGCACTTACTTTAGAGCAGGTGACTTGGCCTAACACTTCCAAAATTGAAGTCACATTACTATTTCTCTATGAGAAGAGATGTTATATGATCCCCAGCCCAATATTTTATTTTAGTTTTGTAGTGTACTTCTAATGTAAATTTAGCTGTGGTCAATGCAAGATAATAGAAGATGAGGTGATTAAGGGCATAAAGATCACGTGGTTCTTCAGTTTTGTTTTCTGCATAATTTTATCACTCTGTGGTTTGCAGTGTTTAAAGAGTAGCTATTTCTGTGCCTTTTTAAACACAGATAAGGAAGCTCATTGGTAAAAGAGGTGACCCTTTCTATGAAGCACAAGAAAATCACAACCTAATTGGAGTAGCAAATGTCTTTTTGGAGTGCCTTTTCTATGATGTTAAACTTCAGTATGCTGTGCCAATCATCAGCCAGCAGGGCGAGGTAAGGCTAAATAACAGTGTAAAGCTGGAGTGTCAAGCTCACCCTGTGCCCTAAGCCAGATCCAGACCACAGGGCTCTTTTGCAAACTGAACCCAGCAGAGGGCAGTGCCAACAGCTGTGTTGGACATAGAGGGAAGAGATACAGCTGTGGCAGGACTGCCAGTGGTCACGGGGCGAGCAAGACTGTGCCTTGGGGCTCTGGATTATACAACAAGCCATGCCCCTCTTCTGGTAGCTTGGCAGGCTGGATGAAGCAGACCTGCTGTATGCATGCCACTCCTGGTATAATGCATTGATAATGCACAAGGTATTGTTAATGTAAAGCAGCAATTAGCAACATTTTGGAGCCATGGGCCAGAACAACCCAGCTTGGGTCCAAGGTGGGCTGGTGTTCTGACCCAACCACTGCTATCATCACTGTTTCTCCCTGCCATCACTTCTCCCCAACCACCATTGTTTGTAGCACTGATGTAGCTCCCCAGCCTGGGCATGGACATAAGCAAAACCCCTTGCTGCTAAGAGGCTGCCAGAACCACGGTTCTATGGACTGATCCCCATGCCATATGCTTTTTACCCCTAGGGTAAAAGAGTGAGGGTGGATAGAATTTTTCACATCTACTTGAATCAAAGACAACCCTGAATTTAAGATGGTCCCCCAGTAATTAGATTCTATAAAAGGCAAACTTACAAATTTGCTAAAAAGTTTCATGTATAGAATCTAATTATTAGAGGGTTATCTTTAATTCATCCCTCCACTGCTGCAGGGGGTCAGGCAGTGCAGGGGCAGGTGGTATGGAGAGGTCAAGCAGCTTGCTGTCTGCTTGTGCCTTCCCCTCCTACCACTTCTGCCCCCTGCCTGCCCCCCCAGTCTTGGGCCACCCCTTCCCTCTCCACCTCTGCTTTCGCTCCTCCCCCAACCTGTGTTCCCCACTCCCCCTTCTCCCCCAGCACCTGATCCCTCTCCCCCCAGCACCTGCTCCGCTCTTCCTCCTAGCATCTTCTCCCTGCTGTGGTTATGGCCCTGACTCCAGGTAGGGCTAGAGCCTGAGCCTCAGGAGCTGCTTGCCCCCACCCCCCATTCTCCATTTTAAGTTGAGGAGTTCCCCTCCATGTTAAATGGGAAAGCACCTCATCTTAGAATCAAGTAAATGTGGTAGTTCCAAATGTATATTTCTGTTTACTTTGAAACAAATGTATATTGGAGGGAAACAAAACCTTATATTTAAAATATTTTACTTGTACTTTATACAATTTTATGGATAAGGAGAGTTGCTCAGATACTTCAAATGTAAAAATAAATACAGGGAGGTAAATTAGCAAGTGAGCAAAAACTACAGGATCAGAGATTAAGTCCCTTGATCCTTATGCACAGATTCCTTTAATTTTACTTAAAGTTATGTAACAGTAATGATCCCCAGTGCCTTTATCTTTGTCTGTGAATTGATTAGTGAAAGACTGAATAATGTGGTAAACATATATTGTTTTCTTCCTTATTCTCTCTTCTTTCCCCTTTTTAGTTTTCCTTGTGCCATTGTTCCTTTCTCAGTCAGAAGTTAAAATGATCAAGTTTTAATGTCCTCCCCAGCCCTAGCAACCTGAAGGTTATAATATGCCAGTTTCTGTAGCCAGTGGCATGCAACAAAGAGCTGGAATTAAGATCATGTCTGGCCACTTTTCACTCCCCTGCCTCAATGATCCATGTACCTATTTGCACCTAGGTTGGCAGCTCTGGTATTGTTGTGATATGCCTTAATTGGTCTGCCATCAAGTCCTGCATCCATTGGTTAAAGGGGCTATGATACTTCTCCTCTCTCTGTTGTGTCTGTCCCCTTTTCTGTTCTTCCTGAGGTCAGGTGTGCAGTATTTTAATGTTTTTAAAGCCCAGGTACTTAGGCACTTTTTATTTGTGCTTCAGGTTGCAGGACGGTTACATGTAGAAGTGATGCGAGTCACTGGTGTTGTCCCAGAACGGGTGCTGGAAGGAGATGACTCTTCTGAGAACTCCAGCGAAAGCGGAAGCCTGGAAATCATGGATAACAATGGAGATATTATTTGCAGGGCAAAAAAACTCACTTGCAGGGTAAATAGGCCACCATGAGCTAATTAAGAATTCATTTCTTGTCAAACAAATGTGTTGTTACGGTCTTAAGATAAAATATTAAGTTATACAGAATGTGGTTTGCATAGGATTGTGTAGAGAGCAGAAAATGGACTTATGTCCCTTCCACTGCATTAGCTCCAGTTTAGACGGGCAGTGATTGAGTGACTGTGAATTGAGTAGTTTCATTTCTGTTTCTAGTGAGCTTAGGCCTATCCCAAAAATACTGGCATTACAGCAGCTACCCTTTGCAGTCATAGAGGAGAACAGTTCAGACACTGAACCTGCACTCTGCTGTATCTCTCAGTTTGGGGGTTGGTTAGATAAGAGAGATGCTTTCATAACTGTCTAGGCTGCACCTGCTCTGTACCTCCCAATATTAAATTTTGGGAACCTATCATTTCCTGAAGAAAATATGGATGTATAAGTTAGATATGTAAGCATGTAACGATTTGCGCTTGGGAGAAATTTTACAATCTTTGCACTCTCCTGTCTGAGGAAGGGCGCCTGTGCCTGAAAGCTTGCAAATAAAGAAATTTTTCTGGAGCTATCTAGTTATTCTAATAAAAGATATCACTTCCCCAAGAGTTCTGATTACTTTTGTGTGCAGACCAACACAGCTACAACCTGTATCCCTAACTCTTTGCTGTGCACTCAAATGCATTTCAGCTTTTACATAAACAGAACTGTAGGCTTCCCAAATATATTCATCCTTAGGTCTCTATGAAAATGTGGTCCTGAATATTATTCTAGCTTAGATATTTAGCTTTTTAAGAGGACATAATCATACTATTTTGAGTATCTTGTTTTTTCCTGTCCAGGTAAAAATAAAAGAAGCAACTGGGCTGCCACCAAACCTCTCTAATTTTGTTTTCTGTCAATACACATTCTGGGATCAGTGTGAATCAACGGTAGCAGCGCCAGTGGTGGATCCAGAGGTGCCATCACCTCAGACCAAGGATGCTCAGTTTACAGTGACCTTCTCTCACTACAGGGTAATGATTTTATTTTAAAATCGTATGTTTGAGATGAACTGTGTATAGAGCTTGATCTTTATTGGGATGTAAACTTTTTTTGGAAGGAAATGCAACTAAATACTCTGTAACATTAAAATGTTACACTTTTAGAAGAGGTCAGATGTCCTTAATTAACCTGAATCCAAGATGACTGTGACTTTAAGATGACCCTCTCCCCATAATTAGATTCTAGACATTGAAAATGTATACATTTGTTGTAATTTTCTATATTTAAATCTAATTTTTGAATACCTCCCCTTCCCCCCCCCCCCGAACTTGTATTTGAATGTAAGATAAGAGGCTTCCCCCTGTGTTGAATGGGGGGTGGGGGGCTCATCTTAAATTTGAGATTTGAATATATATGGTATTGTATATATGCAGTCATTAGTTCCTGATGTTATCATCAGTGGCATGCACAAAACTGTTTTTTTCTCAAGCAAAAATGTCAGCATTTATAATGCAATCTTGTTGAATATTTGTGCCATTGTGGTAATTTTAAAAAGCATAAATCTAAGACTAGAGAGAGTATGGCAGGGCCCAGTTGAAATGTAATGGTATTAAAATGTTAAAACACATATTTAAGTTACTGATATGACCTCTCGGTGTTTTTCCTGCTTCTTAAGGCCCCACCTATGAATCAGAGACTTGTCAACTTAACCATGTGGGCTCTGCCATGGAAGCAGAGACTTTTCTGCTCCATTTCTAGTTGCAAGCTAACTATAAAGAATTGGTTTCTTAATATAGTTTCCTTTTCCCTCTTTCCAGGATTATGTGGTGAATGTTACAGAGGAATTTCTGGAGTTCATTTCAGAAGGAGCTCTTGCTATTGAGGTGTGGGGACACAGGTGTTCTGGTAATGGCCACTCCGTTTGGGAGGTTGATTCTCTTCATGCTAAAACAAGGACACTGAGAGACAGGTATGGGAAAAAATAAAAAAAAGGAATGTTTCTAAAGAAAGGGGTTGCAGTACTTTAAATGTTACAACTGATTGTACTCCTGTTGTCCTTAATTAAAGGCAACACATATATTTGGCTATTTTTCTAGGTGGAATGAAGTAACTCGCAGAATAGAAATGTGGATTTCCATTCAAGAACTGAATGAGATGGGGGAATATACTTCAGTTGAACTCCATCAGGCAAAGGATGTAAACACTGGAGGAGTTTTCCAGCTTAGGCAGGTACTGAGTTTTTTTCCAGTCGTGTTAAATTTAATTATGTTTATCCTTAATTTTGCTCTTAATTTCTCTCTCTTTGGTTCTCCTGGTCACTTGTTCAGGGCCATTCTCGTAGAGTTCAGGTGACAGTGAAGCCTGTACAGCACTCAGGAACACTGCCTCTCATGGTGGAAGCTATTCTTTCTGTCTCGATAGGCTGTGTGACTGCCAGATCAACCAAACTACAAAGGGGTTTGGACAGCTATCAGGTAGGATAACTGCATAATATAATTATAGGCTATTACAATTATTTGCTTTGATGTTTTAGAATCCTGCTAACATAGTTCAAGGTAAAAAATCAAAATGGGGCCCCAGCTTTTTAATAATAGTACATCCATACACATGTGTTAATGTAGCCCTCTTTTTTTTTTAAGTTAGCACAGGCTTGGAAGGTGGAGGGGGGGAGGGTTGGGGGTGAAGAAAGAGAGAGAGAGAGATGGGCTTATGAGCTCAAATTTGTTTCTGCTGAAGCCAGAGACAAAATCGCTAATGACATCATTTAGAGTAGACTTTGGTCCAGAAATAAGTATATGCATAAACATTAATATCTCTATCAGGATGCTGTCAGGACACTTTAAATTGTTTGGTTGATTGCATTTGCTAATACAGTAAAATACTCAGTCATAATATTACACCTTAAAGCCCTGCTCACTATTTTGTACATTGATCATTTTCTGGGAATCCTATCCCTTAACCGAACTGTTACCTCTATTCCTGCTTAGTCTTACCTGTTGTCTATTTAGAAAGTTAATGACATCTTCTCTGTTTTGGTAACTTGTGCAACATTTTTTTAAGAATACTACAGAATTGTATGACTTTATGGTGGACAGCAATGACTCTAAAAGGAACTGTGGGATATAGCAGGCAGGCATCTGACCATAAACTTAGTGCAAATCTGGGAGAGCTGAAAGGCTAATGAAATCCTTGAATATAAGCAGGAGAGTAGGAGTAGGGAAGTAATTTTTACCTCTGTGAACAGGAGTGGTGAGGTTGATACTAGAGTACTGTGCACAGTTCTTTTATCATATTTATTTAGAAAAGATGCTCACAAATTGGAAAAGGTGAAGAAAAAAGCCACAAAAATTATTTAAAGGCTGGATAAAAGTCTTAAAGTTAAAAGCAATGTTTTCCATCTATTTAGTTTATCAGAAAGAAAAGCCCGAGAGGTGACTTAATTAGTATCAAGGAACCATAATGCGGAGAAGGTACTAGTTACTAAATGTTGGTTTTTACTAGTGGAGAGATGTAACAATAACCAGTGTTTAGAAGCTAAAGCCAAACAACTTCAATTTGAAAGTAATGGACACATTTTTAATAACGAAGATGATTAATCATTTGGACAGGCCAACAAGAGAAGTAGCAGGTTCTCTGTCTTTTGATGGCTTCAAATCTGAACTTTGTGAACGTTATGCGTTCGTTTAGACCAATGGTTCTCAACCTCCATTCCACAGGCTGAATCAAACCCACTGAGCTGTCATTTGGCCTGATGGGCTCCCCAAAGATTCAGAAATTTTGCAGCGGAAGACCTGTGGGGAGCCCTACAGGTCAGATGAGACAGCCATACATGCTGGATTGTACCAGCGCATGGGGTCACTCCAGCCAGATGCAATTTTTCAGGCCAGGCCAGGAAGCTGCATTGCATGCATGAACTGGCCCCACACACTGACTTTATGCTGAATCTAGTTCACAGACCAACACTCTCTCTCTTCAGAATCCAGCCGATGGATTGGTCCCACGCTGCTCATCCAGCCCACGGGGTCAAACATCACTAGTTTAGACCAACACAGTTACGGGTTTTGACAAAGGGGTAACCAGGTGAAATTTAAAGGCCTGTGATATACAGGGCCTCAGACGAGATGAATTTGTCCTTCTTTTGTTTTGAGTCTACAACTTAAAAAAAAAAAGATACACTAGTTACAGAAATTAAACTGAGATGTTAAAACCAAGAAATGAACTTCTGAGAAGTATTTTTTATTAAACCAGAATTCAAAAATCAACCAGACAGCCAAAAAATCTGTATTGAAAAATCTGACTGGTTAAATTTCATAAAAGCGTTTACACTTGTACCAGTTTGATTTGGGTTTTTTATTTATTTATTTGGATGTGTGTTTTATTTGGATGTGTGCTGTTCTATCAAGAAAATGCATGTTCTTTGTGTTTTACAAAATTTATTTTCTCCTACCAGAAAGATGATGATGATGATGGTGATATGGATAGTTATCAGGTATTGCTGCTGTTGCTGTCAATCCTATGGCATGGGGCACAGCTAATGCTAATAGCCAGCAACTTTAAAGTGGATAAGCATATTGAAGCAAGCAAAAGCAGCTTTGAAATACATTCTGTGCATTCAGGGGCTATCTGGGCTATATAAACTTTGCCATTTCAATTTATTTTATAATTTACTTTCTATTCCTACACTGCACTTCTCTTTGGTATTCAGCGATCAGATCTTCTAAATGCCTACATGAGATGCTTTGAACAATTAAGCATAACTAACAATATGGGAGTGATTATGCAGATCCTAATACACGTATTACAGTAAAAATATCCAACCTGCATTAACACTTGCCATCTAGAATGTATCAGTTTTTTTCTAAAGAGAAAACTTCTTGTCGTCTTAAAATGTATAATTGTTTGAAATAGTAATGCAAAGAGTGAAGGTGAAATATGCATGTGCTTTAAATAATGTAATAATTTATTTTTTCTACAATGCAACACATGGTATGCTGCAGTTAATTTTAGTAATTTTAGAGAAATTAAAATTTTGAAAGCTAAAATATATATAACTGAAATATAATATTTAAAAAATATTGGGGGGAAATGGCTTATTTTCAAGTAGTGTGTTTCCCCATTGTAAGACGTTTTGGATTTTGTGGTTTGAAAGCAGTAAAACCAACTTAGATGTAAACGTTAACATCCCTTGAGTTTTACTATAGTAGGTTTTACAATAGTCTCAGTAATAACAGCTCAGGTACTAACTTCCTGCAGGCTGTTTATATGCTTCTTGACAATGCAAATTACAGAGCAGAATGGACCAAACTTTCTTGTGATGTCATAAAGCATGATTGCATGATGGGTTCTGTTTGCATGAAGAATTAAATGCACTGATGGCAGCTCTTAGTAATGGAATTCTATGGAGATTTAAGGGTATACAGGCCTGTCTAATCTTGTAGGAGAATACACGGCCACTGTACAATACCTGTTTTTACCCATTCCATTCCATATGCTATTAAACAGTTTCAGTGTCTCTTGGATGGTCTTAATGTATTTTTGTGGAAATCACAAATTCTGTAGAAGGACAGCCGAAAAATGTTGATAATTTATACAGCTGCTGGTATCATGTCACCTTTTCTTGCTTTTTTTTGGAATCTCAAACTTGAAAGTGAATGAGGTTTCATTCCTGAGCAGTATACTGCTTAATCAGCATGCATGCTATAAATGAAACTTTCCTGCCTGTTAATCACGCAAAACTGTTCAATAGCATTTCTGAAAAAGTTATAATTAAATTAGTTGTCCTTCCTTTGGTTCAATACTACATGTTGAACAGAAAAATGTTTTTCTGACCCCGCATTAGGAGGAAGATTTAGATTGCGTGCGAGAAAAATGGTCTGATGCACTTATAAAACGCAGAGAATACTTAGATGAACAGATTCAGAAGATCAGCAATAAGCAAGGTAGGTCTCACTTCAGACATAAATTATCTTTTTCAAGCATTTTGTTCTTTTGACCAACCGGTATACTTTCACTTAATGTCACAGCTTAATATTGTGAACTTTTTGGAACAAACTTGCCTCCATGTCTCTGGGCCATGTTGAGCATGTTATCTAGAATACAAGGAGCAGCCCCCAAAATTAGTGGAAAACAACAAAGTGCCTATGTTGTTAGAGTTAGACGTATACAATAGCTGTTTGGATTGTCATTGTCACAAGCCAATGCAGGAGGAATACTATAACTCAGGAGCAGGCAGTTATTTTGGTTGGAAGGCCACTTACCCAGTTTTTGCAGGCTGTCTAGGGCCGCATGGGTAGCCCCGCCCCTTGACAGGTGCCCCATCCCCTGGTAACCATCTTGGGACCAATGTCCCAGGGCCAGCACTGGTGGGACCCAAAGCGGGGCACTGGCTGGCAGGGGTTTGTGGAGCCAGGCTGAGCTACACCAGCAGGGAGAGTGGGGAGCTGGCCCGGCTCCATAGAGCTCCTGCCAGCTGGGACCCCATGCTCCTGCTACCCTGCTCTGGGCCCCACTGGCACTAGCCCGGGGACACCAGTGTGGGCCCTGTGCTCCCGCTGGCTTCCGCACCTGCTCACTCCCAGTACCCCCCAGTCCCGCAGTACAGGCAGGAGGCAGTGCACAGCCCTGACCCCCTGCTCGCTGGCAGGGAAGAAACTGGTGCTGAGCACGGGAAAAGTGGCCCCTTGCCCGCCCTGTGGTCAGCACTCCCTGCTGCAGGCACTTGCAGCCCATGCGGGGCTGTCTGGAGCAGGCACAGTCTGCAAGTGGCTACAGTGCGGGGCACTGGCCACGGGGCAAGCGAGGGGCTGCTTTTCCCCGTGCTCAGCACCAGCTTGTAACCTGTCTCCGCTGCCAGCCTGCGCGCCACTGGCTCTGGGCTCGTCCTTTGGGGGTGTGTGCGGCAGCAGCAGCTGCAGTCCCCTCAGCTTGCCGCAAAGTGCAGTGTTGGCGGCTGCTGCCTGCCTGGAGCTCGCGCACAGGGCAGCCCACAGGTGACAGTGGCAAACACTGCCCGCCGTGGTAAGCAGGAGGGGCTGCAGCTGCTGCCGTGGCGTAACCCTGACGGAGGAGCCTGGAGCTGGTGCGGGGCCCAGGCTGCCAGTGGAGCCGGGTTACTAGCTGGTGCTGAGCAGGAGGGTGTGGGGAGCGGCCCCTCACCCACCCTGCACCCGACACCCTGCGCTGCAGGTGCTCGCAGCCCACATGAGGCTGCCTATGCCTGTTCCAGACAGCCCCACGCAGGCTGTGAGCGGCTGCAGCAGGGAGCACTGGCCACGGGGCAGAGTAGGGGCCACTTTCCTCCATGCAGGGAAGGAGCCCAGGGAAAAGCTGAGCATGGGGAGGGGAAAAACGGCCCCTCGCCCACCCCGTGGCTGGTGCTCCCTGCTGCAGCCACTCACAGCCCACGCAGGGCTGTCCAGAGCAGGCACAGGCAGCCCCACGCAGGCTGAGTGACTGCAGCATGGGGCATCGGGCACGGAGTGGGTGCGGGGCCACTTTTCCCTTCCTGTGCTCAGCTTTTCTCTGGGCCATTTTTCCCCAGGCTCCTTCCCTGCCTGGGTCCTCCCCTGCCCTTCCTGCCCTTCATTTCCCCCTTACCTGTGGTTCTGGCGCGGGGCAGCCATGTAGTCCCAAGCCAGAAGCCCCAGCTGGGGCCTCTGGCTCGTGAGGGGCCCTGCTGTTGTGGGAGCCTGCCAGGCTTACCCTGGGTCCTACTGCCTTTGGGTCCTGTCATTTTTTACAGGAACCAAGGGCAGATAAATATTAATTTTCTAAATTTTTTAGGGGCCCTGCGGGCCAGATGCAGCCCACGGGCCATATTTTGCCCACCCCTGCTATAACTGGATAACTGTAATCTTGTAATTGGGAAATGTATGCAAACACAGTGTAGATTTCATACATTGAGTATTATCTCTTTCACTGCAGAGAAAACAGAGGATGATCTGGAACGGGAAGCACGGCTAGTAGAACAGTGGGTAGGACTGACTGAAGAAAGGAATGCAGTGTTTGTCCCAGCACCAGGCAGTGGTATTCCTGGTGCACCTGCAAACTGGTATGCACACAGAGTGTTCAGTAAGACACCCTGGACATTTAGCTTCTTGTATGTGAGCATTGCAAACTGGACAATGAGATCTTGGGGCCTGGTTCACTTCTGTGTATATTTTTCAGTGTTATGCTATTTTGTGGTTAAGCTGGGAGAACTGCTGTTGGGCCCTGAATCTGTAATATCCTAGTTCAGTAATTCTCAACCCTGGGATGCTCTGAGGTCCTTTTAAGGGTGCCATTGGATGCTATGCAATATTAGCACTGTTAGGCATGCAAATACTGGCACACAATTCACAAGACAAACCCAGAGATTTCTAGTAGTAGCGCACAATGTGAAAAAATTCTGAACTGTCATGGTCTTTCTGAGTTCTTTGCAGCAGAAAAGTGGCTGTGTTATTTTTCCATAGATAAAAAAGAGTGAAAGCTACAAGCTGGCATTTTCTACAGGATGCCTGGCATCTAATGAGAGGTTCTTTGAATCTTAGAAGGTGGAGAACCACTGTTCTAGGAGGGGATATATTATTCCTCAGGCTAAATCCTGTTTCACTTTCATGTACATATTTGGCCCCTATGTAGCCATGTAGTGTCAGGTTTTGGCATTTACACACAGTCTTGATTCTGTTTCCACCTATGGTAGAATAGGATTGCCTACTCATTGTTGGGGTGTACTTACTGTGAGTGGGGGGACAGAGACATGACAATGTGGCTGGGTGCCTGGGGTACTTAACCCATGCAGGGGCAGCAGTGACGTTCTGCTGCTGCTGACATGATTGTATGGTTGTGGCAGCAGCTGATTTTTCCATCCATCCCCAACAAGTCAGTGCCTGGGGCCTTGCTCTAGTGATGTCACTGGGGGCAGAAGGGCCCTCATCACTTTTTAGCCCAAGAACCAAGGTTAAGGCAAGGGTGTCAAACGTGCAGCCCGTGGAACTGTTTGAAGTGCAGCAGAATAAAGCCAGGTACCTGGACCCCAATAGGCACGACTATCAGCAGCAGGCCCCCATCTTCATGCCTCTGCCTAGTCAGAGCTCCTCATTGTAGAATCATAGAAAGTTAGGGTTGGAAGAGACCTCAGGAGGTCATCTAGTCCAACCCCCAACTCAGACTAGGACCAGTCCCCCCACACACACACCTGGCACCTGCGCGGCAGCTGCCCCCTGGCACGGGACCAGCGCAGCTCGGCAGGGCCCCACTCGCTGTCTGGGAGCTGGGGCAGCTCCATGTCAGCCGGAACTCCCTGTTCAATTCCCCAGCTCTCTGATTGTTCCCCCAGCTCTTTCTGAGGAGTGCGGCCCCCAGATCTGCGTGTGGAGTTTCAGCAGGTTGCTGCTGCCAGCTGGGGAAATAACCCAGAGCCACCGCCATCACCAGCTGGCAGCAGAAGACTGCTGTCATCCTGCATCATCCAGGGGCCCACACCCCCCAGGAAGAACTGGGGGGAAAGACTGGGGACCTGAACATTCCCTCAGACCCTGGTTCGATTTCCCCATCCCCCTGGTTCAAGTCTCCTGGGAACTGGGGAGGCTCCATGTGTCAGCTGGAGCCCAGTAGCACTCAGCCTCAGCAGCCCCAGCTCCTGGACAGTGTGCAGCGCCCTGCTGAGCCACATTGCACCCACCCATGCCATGTGGGTGCCAGGTGGGGGGGAATCCCTGCTGCCCCCCACTATCCCACACTGTGCAGGGGTGCTCTGCCATGTGTGTCCAGAGGCCCCAAAGCTGCTGTTGCAGCTGGTGAGTGCAGGGCATTAAAAAAAAAAAAAAAAAATGTAAAAGTGCTGGGACTAGGCTGGGCCTGGGCGGGGGATGGAGCCAGACAGGGCAGCCAGGGGGTCTTCTCCCACTGCTCCCCCAACCCAGGGAGAGGCAGGCACAGCTGGAGGAGCTGTGGGAGAGCCTGCAGCCACCCGGCTGTGCCTACCTCTTCCTGGGCGATCTGAATCTCCAAATCTCTCTGAATCGGCGCCGAATATTCCAAAGCTGATTCAGCCGAATCGATTCAGGACAGTGATCCAAATCTCCAAATCAAATCACTATTCTCCGAATCCACGTCTGAATCAAATGCTTCCCTATTCACACAGGCCTAGCATTTAGGCATGTGAGGGTGAAATAGGATTGAGCCTTTCCTGCTTGATACTGTGCTGGTTATGTTTACTTCTAAAAACAAAACTACATGTGAGATTTCTCCTCCAAGGACAAAAAACCATATCAAAGCTTATTTGAATGCAGTTCAGTTAAACTAACTAAAATAGAGTACTGCATATTAATTCAAAATCTAAACAAAGAACTTGGTAGCTAATTTGTTAAGACTCTTCAGCAGCAAATATATAGTACAACTTGAATAGGCACCTTAAGTTCTTATTTTCACACACCTGTAATTCCAAAAAAACTCCAAACCCTATCATTCGAAATTTTTAATTCATATTTTTTACTCATAGATGAATTAAAGAGAACTCAGTAAGATTCCACGTGACTTTTTAAAAAAAAGTTCAGACCAACCTGAAAAGAATGTGTTCTCTTTTCCTCCACTCGTAGTTCGGTTACCCTTATTTTTATTCAGCTAATGAAACATGGCTTTCAGAAGATTCAGATGCAGCTTATATGAAAGAACTATGTGCACTTTTGTTAAATTTGGAAAAATGTGGTTGAGAAATGAAGCTGTAATTGACTGGAAGCATGTGTCTTGCAAGGAGTCATCCTTTTGCTAGTATGGGGACACAAAAGATGTTTGAGGAGATTTTTTTTCCCCATCTCTAATTTCTAGGTTTATTTGATTTTTGCCCATCTCCTTCCTCGCTTAAATAGTGCATGCCATTTAGCCCAACATATGCACATTGAATGCTGTGGCACTTATTTCAGTGATGAGTTGCACACGTATCAAAGGCTACTAACTCGGGCATATTAGACAATTAAATAAACAGTATTTTAGTTGCATGTGCTCTGACCTGACCTTTTCTTAAATGGTTGAGTTACTTCAATGTACAAAAAGGCATACTAAAGCAATGCACAAAACAGGATACTTGAAGGTGTGGTTGCCATTCCTGATTTAATGTGCCGCATCATATGAACTGAGTTTTATCTTAAACTATGATGGTTAGCTGCATATATAGGGATACAAAATAATGTGTGCACAAAGTGGGTTAATTATTAAATCAGTGGGAACTATAATTTTGAGTATCCTAATCAGTTTTGCTGTAGTTCAATTTTCCACAAAAGTTTGGGGGTTTTTAAATCCTTCATGGATGGCTGTTTGTGCAGGTTAGCTTCCATACTAATAGCATCTTGTTTTTCTTTTAGGGTTCCGCCTCCAGGAATGGAAACTCACATACCTGTCCTTTTTCTTGATTTGAATGGTAGGTTGTAGCTGCAAGTTAAAAAACTTGTACTTCATAATAGAATTCAGATCAATAAATAAATAAGCATTCTATGGATGCTATGGGAGTCAGGGAAAACTGAAAATGAATCATGCTATCAGCTTGTTCTCTGATAAAGCTTTTCCAAAATCTTTTTCCCCTTCTCCATATTTCCTAGTTGAAATCTGTTTTATATCAAAGCTCTTTGTACAGTTAGTAGATAGGAGATGAAATATGATACTCAAGCTGAACTGCCTGATTTAACAGATTACCACAAAACTTGTTCAGTTAAGACCCTTCTATAGCCTGATCTATTAAACCAAAATGTCCATGATCCATAGAATTCTAGTTTTGGTATAAATGCCCCTTTACTTCAGCAAGGGTTTTGCAAAGATTTGCTTGTTAGAATGTATTGCTACCAGCAAAATTTGTCAAAGCTTGCCATGCACAATACAGTAAAGGCATCTCTAGAAATACAGTGTGAAATTCTGCTTGAATTAAAAGTAGGAGTGAATGTATGGTCTCAACTTAGCACTGGCCTTGTGTGCGCTGACAACCTAAACAAATTCTTGCATGTGGTTGTGTTTATCCAAGACTAACTCTTAGATGAAATATAGACAACATGATATGGTAACTGGTGTCTTATGATTCACACTTCTATGAATTCATATTTCTTGATGTAGAATGTTTTCCATTCTCTCTTTGTGTTCATTTGATTGTAGCTGATGACCTCACTGCCAATGAACAGCTTATAGGTCCTCATGCATCGGGAGTGAACTCAATACTACCAAAGGAGCATGGGAGTCAGTTCTTCTACTTACCCATCATAAAACACAGTGATGATGAGGTAATTTACTAGCAAGCTGCCTCTGACAGTTGTGACTTGCATTAATATTTTTCTTATTTTGTCCTTTATGTATTTAATGCTCATCGATGGCTATAGATATAGATATTGCTAGTGTTATATCTAGTGGTGGGGAATGTTTGTTGGAACTTCAGGCCAAGCAAGTTACTAACCATATGTAGGCAACTCTTTATAGTTCTGCCTACTTGAACTTGTTGTAGAAATAGAGTTTCTAATAAGTTTAGTTTCTGGTAATTGCAATCAGTTTCTTTATGTACTTCCAGTTGGATGGAATATTCTTTGTTTCCTGTTTTAAACTGTTTAATTGTGATAGGCGATATTAAACACCAGCTCATTTTAGAGCTTTCAGTGATAGATGTGCATCAGGGGTGTCAAACTCATTTGGCCTGTGGAACAGATGAGTGGTGAGGGTCTGAATCAGGCCCATGTATTCCCCCTCCCCCCACACATGCTGGATCTGCTGCACTTGGTGCCTGTTCCAGCTGTTTCAGGACATGTGATGCACATACCAGCCACCCTAGGAGCTGCGGTGCATAAATGCTGTAGGTGCTGTGTGCAGTGCGCATCCCAGACTGGCTGGAGTGGGCACCATATGTAGTATGTGTCCTGGAGCAGCTGGAATAGGCACCATGTGCAGCACAGATCCCAGATTGGCTAGAAAGCATGCTGTGTGCAGTTCAGTCAGTCCGGCCAGAGCGAGCACCATGTGCAATATGTGGTGTTTACCCCAGCTGGGCTGTGCCACATGTGGCTCCCATTCTGGGCTCTGCGCTGCCCATGGCTCTCCCCAGCTGGCTGCCATGTGTGGCACAGATCCCAGAGCTGCTAGAATGAATATCACATGTGGCATGCATCTCAGGCCTTGCCTGTGAGGCTGAGGAGGTGCATGTGTGTCAACTCAGACCCAAAGCTGGCACTGGGGCCAGATGATGGAACGCCACAGGCCAGCCATATCTTTGATGCTCATGATATCCGTGATTTGTTCAATTTTAAGGTGACCTGCAAAGGATGAGGAAAAAATTAGGACTTGTACTTTTCCCGCTGCTGAATCTCAAAAACAGAAAGTATGAATGACTTGAGTGGGTGCGGAGGTGTCTTTGGAAGAAACAAGGAGGGCATTCTTCAACAAATGGGAATAGAACTACTTTGCAGAGGCTTTGTGTGCCCCCTACTCTAGGGTTCAGTCCGTTCACTGATTTCAGTGATCTTTGCATCATCCAGTTCCAAGTGGGGAGTGACCAGAGAACTCACATAGGGCCTGCACTGGAGAGTCTTTGCCTTTAGGTTTATATCTTCCTTTAACTTCCTTCACCAAAGTTTGCATGGTCTGGCTCTGACAGCTAGCCCGCAGTTCTTGAGGAATTGGAGGTTAGTTCTATTGTCGAATTGCCTACTCTGGGGACAGGATTTGTCCCATGAGTGTCAACTCCAGTTCTGTATCTTGTATGGATGAAAATTTTAATTCTTAATAAATGATTGCAAATCTTAAAGTTTAATGGACTAATTTAAACTTTTTGGTTTCTTTTTCTGCCCTCTTTCCAACTACCACACTTAACCTATTTAGGTTTCAGCCACTGCTGCATGGGACCCCTCTGTTCATGATTCAGTGCATTTGAACAGGGTAACCCCACAAAACGAGAGGATTTACTTAATCGTGAAGATCACCGTGCAGCTCAGTCACCCTGCTGCAATGGAACTGGTGTTACGTAAAAGGATTGCAGCCAATATTTATAACAAGCAGGTAATAAGTTTACATATAGCTTACAGCTTTTGATTCTATTGATGTCTCATTCTAGCCTGGTTACAAATTGGGTCTCCACTGTAGTTAAGAAAGAGAAATGAGAAATCAGTCAATGGCATTAAACAGTGTACTTAAGAAATCCTCTTCTGAGCTATCATCTCCAACCTAGTTTGGTTCAAATGGTATCAGACACTGATGTTGCAAGAAAACAGTTTTCATCTTCCTGCCTCCACGGTACAACAAAGCTGTCCAGATGGCAGCCTGCAGGCCACATGCGGCCCACAAGGGGTTAATCTGCAGCCCCAGGACTGTCACGTGGCAACTGCTTCCCTTGTTGCTCTGGCTGCTACTGCTTCGACAGCCAGGTTCTCCTGACTTCCCCTCCTTCTCCTGACTTCTGCTTTCTGCGTTTGCCTCAGGGGACAGAGGGCACACAACCTGTAGCACTGCGGGAGCAGGGGAGCCTGCAGCTGAAGAGTGGAGCTGGGAGTGCGGGAGGAGCCCACCCATGAGTGCTATGCAGCTGTGAGGGACAGGGAATGACCTGCACGTGTAGTGTAGAGGTGGTGGGGGTTTTGGCATAGGGACTGGTGGCTCACACTAGTGCAGCCTCCAGGGCTTGTGGCCCCTGCTAAAGCAGCTCATGTGACATGCAGTCCCCCAGCTGCTTTGAGGTTGGACAGCCCTCCTATACGACAACATATTCACTCCTTTGGAGAAATCTGCAATACATTATCTGAACTGGGTTCACTGCATAGTATCAACCAGCTGGGTTTTTTTTTCAACTGTATACTCCAGGGGCAGTCTTTTTCTGGGTATTAAGCTTAAACAGAATATGTTGTTTTCTTCCTTTTCTCTCAGCCCCTTCCAGTGTCTCAGACAGACTTGAGATTTCCTTTTCCTCCTGCTCACTAAGCCCCACTAAGCACATTTTTCTTCCAGTCATGGAAATTGGGTACCAGGGTTTTGCTGCTCATGTACCAAGCAGTGAGATGCTTTCTGAATTTAGTGAAACATGCCTTCCTTTTAAAAGACCATGAGCATGAGAACTTCAAACTCCTTGGCTTTTTGTGTTGCAAGAGAAAAACTGCCCAGGGACTATATTCTAATTCCATCTTTTTCTGCTTGGTTATCATTGCTTTTGAGCTTCATTAATCTATAGTGTTATAGTAAGTGGAGAAGATCACAGAATGCAATAAAAAAATTAACTATTTGATGGGCTGAAAACATACCAATAGTGAATGTTATGGCTGCTATATGAATTAAGTGGGGAGTCGAAATTGTATTTATATTTTATTATCATCATACAGCTGTAATCAGATATTGTCTAGCCCAGGGGCGGGCAATTATATTGGGCAGAAGGCCGCTTACTGAGTTTCAGCAAGCCATCGAGGGCCACGTGACAGGCAGCCCAGGGCAGATTAATATTAATTTTCTAAATTTTTTAGGGGCCCCATGGGCCGGATAAAATGGCCTGGTGGGCTGCATCTGGCCCCTGGGCCACGTTTTGCCCACCCCAGTCTAGCCTATGGTCCAGAGAATGAGAGTTGCTGACATGTGAACAATAGAGATTTTCAGAGCTATCGTTTCTGCAGGTGATTCTCAGTTATGGGACCACTTGTATATCCAAAGTATGTATAAAATGCTACTCCTAAAATTTGGTAACAATTTATTCCTGCTTTACACAGGTGTTAAGGACTATATGAAGTGCAAGGTAGTGGAGAAATCTGGTTCTTTAACTTCAGAAACACATTAAGGATCACTTCGTTATTAGTAAAAAGCTTCAGAAATATTAACGAACTTGCTAAATTGTTGTCATTACATATGTTAAGATTTTTTAATGCACAAAATACATAAAATTACAGACTGTAAATCACCATTCTCAGTGCAGACATATAACATTCTTTTTATATTTCCAGAGTTTTACCCAGAGTTTGAAAAGGAGAATATCCTTGAAAAACATATTTTATTCCTGTGGTGTGACCTATGAAATAGTATCCAATATACCAAAGGTAAATTACATTGTTTTTCTCTACAGTCAAATTGTGAAAGGAGTAGAATAGTTAAACTGAAGTAGGAAGGAGATAATGGCTGGGTACAGACATTCATTTGTGCCGATAAGAATTAAGAAACACAATTTTAACCCCTGGCTGGAGAGCTACACAAGTGAGCCCTCTGGCCAGGAGGCACTAGAGGGCAGCTCCTGGGCCACCCCTGCTCTTAGGGGAGCCCGTTACTTTACACAGCCTTTCCTCTCCCCTGCCTGGGAAGGGGGCAGGATCTCAGCAGGACCACCTGGGCTGCACACAGGTTGATTTAAAGCCGGAGGTTCAGGGAAGCAGGGACAGCTTGCCTAACTCTGGATCCCAGGTCCCTAGCTTAAATGCACACATGTACCACCCAGCCAAGCAGGACATACAGCATTTAAAGCCTGCAGGGCCATGAACTAGGATGGGAACAGCTTCCCCAACCCCAGTTCCTGGTCTCTGGGGCTTTTCAGTCTCCACCCCTGCTGTCCAGCTGGGTGGTGAGGGTGATACTGAAAGCCTGGAGGCTAGGAACTAGGCTTGGGAACAGTCTCCCTGAGATCAATTTCTGATCTCTGGGAATCTCCCATAGCTGCAAGGCTGCCCAAGCCAGAGCAGCTAAGGCACAGCTGTCTCCCTGCCTTATGCACACCTCCAGTTTTACAGGGAGGCCTGCACTGAGTGGGAGACAGTTCTGCAGCTGCAAAACTGCCCAAGCCCAGGCAGCCAAAGGAGAATTATCCCCCAGATCTTCCTGATGAAACCAGATGCACTTGATAGGGGCTCTTCTCCCCTGACAGGAACCTTTAAGTGGTATCCTTCCTTCCCCCCGCCCACCTTCCTGCTAGTCAGCCAATTAGTGGGACAGAGGGCAGGTTCCTCACAGGGTTCCCTGACCGCTTAATCGTGGGCATGCTGCCAGTGCACTTTCTCTCTCTGGGAGGGAGGGAGGGAGTACAGAGGCCTGTGGGATATTGATTGTCTCTCCTGAGAAAAGCGTACAGGCATCCTATTTAAATCAGCAGAGGGCACATCTTCCTCACAAGGAATTGATTTAACTTCTTATGAAAGAGCAAATTCTCTTCCACGAGAAATCTCTGGAACATCTTTACAGCTCTCTCTGTGCTGAGAGAAAAGCAAATTGAATATGCAGTTTCTGTTGGTATGGATAAAACTTAGTAATTGTGTATCTAAATTTTAGGTGAAAACGTTTCTTTTAAAGGGCTAGAAGCCCAGGGGGCTATTAATTTAGTTAGTTTCCTCCACCCATTTTTTACATGATTTTGTGCTTGGTTTGAACAAATTATTACAGCCATAAGTGTCTATAGGTGGGATATACTGCTGTATTTAAAAAAAAAAAAAAAAAAGATATATAGGTAATTGATAACTAAAGTGAATGGATAGGAGGCTGTTTATTAATTGGAAGATGCTGTTTGTTTTGGTGTAATATCTATATAAATATTTTTGTATGCAAGACTGGTGCCCAGTTTAAAATTTATTTTAAAAAAGTTAGAAGAAAATGAATTTTGTCTATATATTTTTACTCAAAAAATAAGCTAGCTGATAATAGTTTCATAGTTGGTGGGGTTGGAAGGGACCTGAGCAGATCATCAAGTCCGACCCCCTGCCATGGCAGGAAAGTACTGGGGTCAAACAACCCCAGTAAGGTGATTGTCTAGCCTCCTCTTAAAGACCCCCAGGGTAGGAGCCAGCACCACTTCTCTTGGAAGTTGATTCCAGATCCTAGCTGCTCTAACAGTGAAGTAGCGCCTCCTGATGTCTAGTTTAAATCTACCCTCTGCCAGCTTGTGACCGTTATTTCTAGTCAGTCCTGGTAGTGCTTGGGGGAACAGGGACTCCCCCAGTGCCTTCTGGTCCTCTCTGACTAGTTTGTAACAGGCCACTAGATCCCCCCTCAGCCTTCTCTTGTGGAGGCTGAACAGGTTCAGGTCCCGTAGCCTCTCCTTGTAGGGCCTGCCCTGCTGCCCCCTGATCATGAGAGTGGCCCTCTTCTGGACCCTCTCCATGTTGTCCACATCCCTCTTGAAGTGCAGCGCCCAGAACTGGAAGCAGTACTCCAGCTGCGGCCTGACCAGTGTCGCATAGAGGGGGAAGATCACCTGTTTGGACCTGCTTGAGATGCATCTGTGGATGCATGACAGGGTGTGGGTGGCCTTCCTGACCGCGTCCCCACACTGCCGGCCCATGTTCATATTGGCATCAGTAATGATTTCAAGATCCTTTTCTGCCTCTGCACTGACAAGAAGAGTGTTCCCCAGCCTGTAGTTATGGTGCTGGTTCTTCCTCCCCAGGTGCAGCACCTTGCACTTGTCAGTGTTGAAACCCATCCTGTTCTCATCTGCACCCCCCTGTAACCTGTCTAGGTCTGTATGAAAGGTAGTTAGTAACAATACAGTTGCTGCCTTTTCATAGTTGTATTTACAAGTTACAGTCTATGAAAATTTTTCAGAATATTTGAAAATCAAGAAGGAAGTTGTTGTAGTTATTAAACAGTTAACCCAAACCATATGAAGTATCAGATAATGCATACACAGTTGGTGGGAAATTGAGTCTATAATAAAACAATAGAGCTTGGCCTTTCTTTCGTATCTAGACAAATACAGATTAGTCCCAATTCCATGCAAGGAGTATTGATATGGTTTATCAATACCCCAAGATTGAGACAGTCTAAATAAATAAATTGTGCTGTATTCAGATCAACAGGTGTTAAAAAAATCTATTTTAAAACATGCCGTTTATAATTTTAGGCTACAGAGGAAATTGAAGATCGTGAGACCCTGGCTCTGATGGCTGCAAGAAGTGAGAATGAGGGTACATCTGATGGTGAAACTTACATTGAGAAATATACGCGGGGAGTGTTGCAAGTGGAAAACATTCTGAGCCTGGAACGACTAAGACAGGCAAGGAAAATAAATTCGGTGCAACTTTTAAAACTCTGGGAGAGGGGAACGTTTTTTTTTTGGAGGTTTTAGTGTGTTTAAAATCATTGAAGAGCTTGGGGACAAAAACTGCTGATATGTAGACTTTTATGTAGAATGCTATTTCAGTAAAACAGAAATGGAATAACTATCGCAGCACTTTAGTCAAAACTTAAGAAATCTAAACCTGATAGATGAGTTCACAGATTTTGTGTGTGTGTGCGCGCGTGCGTGCATAACTTGTGTAATTTGAGCTATTCAAACACCAGCTCCATTTTCACGTGGCTTCCTCAACTGTCCTTTAAATGAGCCCTCCCATGACTGTTGACTTCTTATAAGGAGATCCTTAAATAAATGGTCCAGCCTTTATATCAGTATATCTTTCCATGTCCCCATTCTGTTGGCACACAGGCAGTCACAGTCAAAGAAGCACTCTCCACCAAGGCAAGGCATATGCGGAGGAGTATCAGCACACCAAATGTCCACAATGTAAGGAAACTTTTCATTTGATAAGCTATTGTAAGAGAGTCAAGTTTTTCTGTGCTTAATTTTCAGCATGGCAAAATGAATCCTGGCTACTATCATACTCACTGTCTGTGTATTCTGAGCTAGCACTAATACAACATTCAAAAAAATCTTATGAAGAAGTATGGAGCAGGGTGATAATTTATTAACCAAAAAAATCACTTGCGTAATCTAAATTAAGTCTCTCTCTTTTTTTTTTTTTTTAGGTAAATTTTGGGCTCAGAACCAGCATTGTATATCTTACTCTCTAAACTTTTATAAAAGATGACCCTGCATTATATTGTGGTGTGATCAAAACAGTCTAGGTTTTAATGCTTTCAGTTTTAAACAATGGTTTCATTGTATTTTCCCCCTTTGGGTTTTTTTTTAAATTGCTGCAACATCTAGAAGGCTTTTGTTTACACATATTTTCCTCATTCTCCTACGCAGTAGAATCAGGATCTGGTATTTACATTGATGTGCTTCTAACAGTATTGTTTAGATGCATAAAACTTGAGGTTGTTGGGGAGGTCAGACTACATGATATTTTTGGCCCTTCCTACCACGTTCTGTGAACACAGGATGACCTTAGTCATGACCATTCATTATTTTTTCTAGGTATCCTCTAGTCGATTAGATCTTTCTGGCTGTGACGAGGATGAAAAGGTATGTGAATGCAGATATTAAAAAAACCCTGAAGTCTGTTATTTTTCTTTAAAAACAAACAAACAAAAAATCCCAACCCAAAATATCATCAACAAAGAAATGCTTCCTCTTTTTGAATCGTGAATACAGGAAAATCAAAAGACTTGTTTTCATTAGGTATGTTTTAGCAGTTTGGCTGATAGTGATGTGTATGGTAATTACATCAGAATTTTCTAATTGAAGGGAGGGAATAGGAAAGCTGTAGGAAAAACTAGAATGTACTTTTTGCATAGGAGCTGGCCAACATGACTTGCACAGTAAAACCCGGATCATTCATATCTGGGTGGCTTGCAGCTCACTCAGTTGGCAGCAGGCTGCCAAATTAAACATGAGCCACTTATGCATTTGCCATGGCTTTTATTTCAAAGGGTGCTGCTGCTTTGATTAGCTGGAGTTTATCAGTGGTCCATGCAGCTAATCAGAGAAGCAGCACCCTTTGAAATAAAAGCTGCAGTAAAGAGCTGGAGCAACTCAGTGGTTCCGCGCAACTGTTTGTTGCAGCTATCTTCACATCCAGATAGTTTGCAAATTCTCATCTTCACAGGGGGCTAGGAATCTAAATTTTTGTAGCATCTCGGTTTACAGGTGAAAGCCTTGCCCGTACCGTGGATGAAATGATTCTGTACTTAAAATGACTGTTGCCACCATGATTCTAGTGCAGTTTCTCTTACTGAGATTGATGGTGTTCTTTTACCCCCATCTGTGTCATTTGGGATAATAAGTAGGGAATAGTCTTTAGAATACTTTCATAGCGAGAATAGGAGATTTTTATACCATGTCTACTGTTGCCTTAGGTTAACTGCTTAATATTCTGTCTGTCTGCTGTATGTGTGTGTATCAGAGGAAAGTGTAAGGGGATAATAAAATTAGAAATGAAAAAATGATAAAATGCCTCCAGAGAGAATGTTAAGGGCCTTCAACAAAAGATGAGCATTTCCCAAGTAATAGCTCTACCACCCTTGTTCCTGCCAGGCAAACATGTTTGATCTCTTCTAAGTCTATTTCAGATGCAAAGGGGACTAAATAATTCAACACCCCTGGCCAGGAAGGAAAAGGGTATGTGTGTCTGAAAATGTGTCCATTAGAGACTCTAAATCTATGGAGACATGAATGGGTTACCCCATGGAAAGTCAGCCCCTCCCAGTTAAAAACAACAACAAAAACAAGTGTGAATAAGTTATGTGGTCCCTAGAAGCAGTAGTGATAGATTTGGATGGATCAGGGACAGGTTTCTCAAAGACCTTTGTCAGACATGTAGGTAAAGGCACAATGGGATCTGCTGCATGATCCACACAGTTGCACTTCCTGCCATGCCGCATGTGCGTAGCAGGAGGCATGATTGTGGGATCAAGCATCAAATTCCATCATGCCTTACTGCCATTCCATCACGCTTTATTGCCAGTGCTGAGGGAGCCTGGGATCATAATCCTACGCTCCCCCATAACCAGCAAGTAGCAAGCTTCTGCAGCTAGGAGTCCCCCTCAACAAACAGGGCTTCCAGCCATAGGGGTGCACCTGGCCACATGTTCAATTAAAGGCATAATAGGAACCAGCCACAAAGTTATTACATATTTTTTGTGGAATAATATTGTGGTTTATTCCTCATTTTATCTCACCATTAATTGATTGAATGTGTGGCCAGGTCCAATTTAAGATTAACTTGGTCAGTCATGTCTTAAGTGTAACGTGGCAGGGGCCATGCTTTCAAGTGCCTGCTTTTCCTTGCAAAGACTAGTTTCTCATACTTTCAGGTGCATGGTCTCCTCCTCATTTGGGCACAGCTACCACACTCCAGGTTTATGCTGTGAGCTTTACCTCTGTACTTATTGTCCACAGCTTGAGAGAATGCTGCAAATAATGTTTCCCTCTCCCATCCTAAGGGTTGGGCTGTCTTAGTGGAGTAGAACTTACCCAAAACTGTCTAGGAAAGAATGACGTTTAAGTAAGAGTAATAGTGATGTGCTGTTTGTTATTTTAGCTATGGTCTCTTATGTTCCTAATGACTAATAAATGCTTTGTTCTGCAAAGCTGCGGCTTTGTCATTCTTTAATTTTTTGGTTATAAAACTCCAACAAAAAAGACTTCCGCATAGAGCCACATCAGTTTGGTCCTGTTGAAGGACTCATAGTGACAGACAGGGATGCTGATTAGGGCTGTGCGAAGCTTTGGTTGCTGATTCGATTTGGTGGAGATTCAGCCCGACTTGGTGGCTGAATCTGAATCAAATCAGGAGACTCTTTAATCTCTCTGAATCGAATTGGAACCCTCTGAATCAACTTAGGAAAATTCGATGATTCAGACATAGGCAGAGCTTTAAATGTTTTTTTTGCATACATCAAGGTACCAGGCAGCTCATGGATGCTGGGGCAGATGGAGCATCCCACAGGACCGTGGGGGGCTCCCTGTACACTCGGCAGCAGACCTGGAAGTGGACCAGAAGCTTGGCGACTGGTGCCTTCTGGGTCTGGAGGGGTACCTGGGTTCCCTCCATAGCTGATCACCAAGGCAAGGGGGCCCCCCTATGCACTCAGTGCCAGACCCGGAATTGGACCGGAAGTACTTCTGGGTTCGCTGCCAAGCACACGGGGGGCCCCCCCATGCTCCTGTGGGACATTCCATCTGCCCCAGCATCTCAGCATTCATGAGCTGTGCCTGGTACCTCAGGGTATGTAGAAAAAACATTTACGGCCGTGTCTGTGACCGAATCACTGATTCTCCGAATCAGCATCAAATCTTCAGATTCGGATTTGGCCAAATCGAATTGGGGACAGTGATCCAAACCAATTAATCGAATTACTGTCCCCGATTCAGGCTAATCCGAATCCAAATCAAATACAGCCCGCTTTGCACACCCCTAGTGCTGATGCCTAGAGACCCAGTCTGAGAGTGGCAAAGTCAGAGAACTTCCCTTAGGGTGAAGTGGAGGCCCAGAGCCTTAAAGAGACAGTGAACTCCCAAGAGACTGCAGAGGGCATAGGTCTTAGCACATCTTGTGATCCATGAAAGCTGTTATAATTAGAAGGAAAAAAAATATCCCCATCCATACTAAACAGGGAAAGCAAGCTACAGCTTTGCAGGGGAAAAAACTCTCTCATATAATGTATGCATATGAAAGAGATTAAGCTTTGCTTAAACCAATAGCAAAGTTAATTAATTTCTTCTCGCTTGTCTTTATTACTGTTGTCTCCCTTAGGGTTGGTCTGAAAGCCACTTGGATGCATCAGACTGTGCTTCTAGTTATCAAGATATATCATGTTACGGTACTTTACCCAGGGATTCCCCTCGCAGAAGTAAAGATGGTAGTGGTAAGACTCTCAGAACTACATGGATATATTTTTAAATGATTCTTAGGACAACATGCAAAGCATTGTAATGTGAGACCGAAAATAAAACACAAAGTTTAAAGTTCTGTCAATTGTTTCACCTGAGCTTGTTCATATGGGCTAAGTATGGACATTCAAAAAGCCCAAGGTGGAATTGATTTAAGTTGCACAGTTTTCTGTAAGAGGCATAGTTTAGATCAGTAGCAAACAAAACACACACATTTGCTCTTTGGTTGGGGGAGTTGGCTACAAAAGTTAGACCAGGCTGTGCCATTTTTAAACCAGTCTGTGTGCCGAACCTCTGTTCTGTTATGGGTATAGACTGGTTTCTAATAACTTATACTGGTAAAAATGTAATGTCTAGTTTACTTTAACCTGGATTATATGGGGAAAGGGTTCTTTTCAGAACAGACTCCACAGAGTTCATGGATACTTGGTTCTCCATGTGTCTGTGCATATGTCATCAACAAATCATTTGCTTTAAGCCAAAATGTCGCAAGCTTTTATAGGTAATACAGACTGAGATTCCACTGAAACTACAAACCAGGGCTGAGAGCTTCATGTACCCGCAGCTGTCATTAATTTTCTTTGGAGTTACCTGAATTCTGCCCCAAAGAGTCTTGGTTCCAGTGCAAAGTGACACCAGGGGCAAGTCAGGGATGGTCCATGCTCAGAAGGCAAGGTGCTGGCAGTTCTGATTTCAAGGAGAGAACACACAGAGCAACTGCAAAGGAAAGGGAAGAGTGGAGCTTCTGCACTGGCCTGGAGCTGTGCATTGGATTGCTTCTCAAGTCAGCACAATTTCCCCCCTGCCTCAGTAGAGCTCTGCATCGGTCCATGCTTGGTCCACTCGCAGAATTTCTACTAGATGGCCCATAGTGTAACCACAAGACTTATGAATATAATATTTCCCTTCCGTTACTACAAGTTATTTTCTCTGCACTTACATAGATAATGCAGTAGCTACACAGAACTGATGTGTTGTGTTTTTGTTCTCCCCTTAGGTTGCATATCAGAGAATCCACATGCCTTAATGGCCAGCCCATTTAAAGCATTTTCTCCTCAGCCACCAAAATTTTTCAAACCCTTAATGCCTGTAAAAGAAGAGCATAAAAAAAAGACCCCCCTTGAAAGCCGCCCTCTGCTTAGCCAAGAGGTAATTTTATGAAAATAGCAAAATGCTGAGTTTTTGTGCATAAGCAGTAATTTGTGCATGCATCCACAGCACAAGAGCTTTGTGCTGGTATTGACTGGTGTGTGCTTTACTTCCTACTCTCTTGCCCGTTTCACTGTTCGGTAAGTATTTTTGTAGGGAGCGTGTGTTTCTTTTTTTCATTTGCATATTTTCTTTGCAAAAACCTTCCACTGAATGTTTATTTAATCTCCAAAGAAGTTGCAGTATTTTTGGAAAATGGTGTTTTAGGATAATTGTAACACACTTTTTTTCCTAACCTGTAACTTCATTGGGAAAATTGCATGAATTTCTGTAACTGTTAACTTGAACCATGGTCCAGTGTATGGCCTGCCTGTGTGTTTCCCTGTACGATGCCCTAATGTCTTTCTAACTTGCCTGGCTTGAATACTGTATCCAGGTGCTAGTGTTGTCTTTGTGTGATGTGTTGTGTATCTTAACCTTTGCAGAGTATGCCCTCATCTCAGGTACATAACGCTGGCTGTGTTGTGCCTTCAGGAAGTAAAGCCAGCAGCATGTCAATAGAAAACAATAGCATACATGAAGAGAAGATTGTAAGTTTGTATTGGTTTCTGTCATAATGCCTGGTGGTGGGTTTATGGCTCTTTCACGGGCAATAATGCAACAACTTCAGGGAAAAAAATCACTGTGTATTTGGTGTCTTTTAATTTTCACTGGCTATTAGAATTTGCTGTTGCATGCTTGTGAATATAATTGATAATTTGTGGTAACTTAATTTATTTAATTACTTGTGTATCACTTATCGGGGCAAAATCAATTTTGTGCAATAAAATACTGCATCCAATCAGTGAACTAGATCAGATACTTCAGTAAAAGATGTTGAGCTCTTTCTAACATACCTGTGTATATTACACAGATTTTGTGACTATACATGAAAGTAAGAGGAATGATCCCATTTGATGTAAGTAGCCATGCATTTAATTATGGGTACGTCTTGAAAGCTTCCGGTTGCCTGGCATTGAAGTGCAGTGGCTAAAATAAAATTGCAGCTCTAAGTTAACATGCAAGTTAACACCATATATCAGGTTGTAGATTCATTTCCCCTCCCCAGTCATTTGGTTAAACTCGTTCTGCCCCTGTTAGTACTGCTTCTGTGAAAGTTTTGTCAACATTTATCTTGTGTGATAGACATTTTTAAGGCTGTAGAACATGACTGTAAGCCCTTGCTTTAGTCTGAAACAGTATGAAAACTTAAGACCTGAAAATGTATTAAAAGCTCTATAAACCCTTGCCTATGTGCTCCCAAAATTCTTTCTATTCTGTAGGTTTTTGTATTGCAGTTCATAGTCGTTCATAAGGCTTGCTTTGTGTGGTTTGGTGGTTTAAGTGAAAGTTTGTAGGTTGTTATGCTGCAGTAGACTGGCCCATTTGGTATTTACATTTGAAAACTGGCTGCAGTGCACGAGCAGTAACTGTTTTTATTCCTTCATTGTGTTTTGTTTCCATAGCTCTGTGCGAGTCAGCAATCAGTGTGTGTGAACTTCAGGCTGAGGACTCATACTGTAAAGAGAATAGGGAAAAAATAGCTCACAGTCTATTTAAAAATATATCCTTCAGTCTTAAGGAAATTGAATTTACAAACATTCCCATAGCAACTACTCTACAATATAGGTCCCAAATCTAAAGTAATAACCCCTCCCCTTCCTCCCATCCTTCCTTTACTCAGCAGCCACCCTGTGGCAGGGGTGCCATGGGGGATAACATAGATGGCTGGCAGTGGTCACAAGTTCCAGTCACTCATGGTGTGGCCTAGTGAGATTGCAACAAATCTGCAAATACAGCTAAATACCTTGTCACAAAGACATGAAAAAGGAAAGGAAGCAGCCACCTGATCTAAGCAGATTCTTACAGGTCAAGCTGAATCAAATGTTTCAGGCTTGGAAAGCAAGTGAGGTGTCCCAAGCTAAGCTAAAGGTTTCAAAGATGGAGTAAGTCTGTTCCTAAACCAGGCAGGAGTATGTGTTTCAAGCAGGAGCAAACCTTTGATTAAGCTGGATTCTCAGGATAAACTCTGTTTTTGAACAGTTCAGGTTTCACAGCCCATCTGAAATTTCAGCTAATCTGGTCCTCCATCCTGAAGTGGAGTCTGTCAGTTAGCAGAAAACATTATGGGAAGGGATGTGACATTCAACATCAGCCTGATGTAGTAGATTAACAGGGCCATGTACCTGGTATAAGCCTGGAAGCCCACAGTTTCAAAATAAATTGCTAGATGGCACCATGGGCTTGAAATAGTTGAGTGCAGCCTTGGATATACTGTATTTGCTCAATTCAAAGACTGGGTTTTTCCTCTCATATAACATGGAGAAAATACCCTTGTCTTGGAACTGAGTGCAAGGTTGTGGGGGGGGGGGGCAGGCTGCAGTTGCAGATCCAGACTCTGGGTTGGGGCCAGAGTTACAGCTTCTGTCTGTGTAGTGTCGTGTCCCCCCCGACTTCCCTCATCTGCAGCCTCAGGCCTCCTGCCCCCTCACCACATCATCCCCCTGTATTCTCCCTCTCTCCCCCCACCCCACAGCTTCTGTCCCCTCCTACCTCCCTGCCAATAACCCTGGCACTGGCTCCACTCCAGCCTGGGGCAGAGAGCAAACAAGCTCTGCCCCCAACCCAGCAGTAGTATCAGCAGCAGTAGGGGTGGGGCAGCTCTGGCCCTGGCTCCCGGGCTTAGTTGGAACTGCTGCTGTTGCTACCCTGCCCAGCACTGGCCAGATCATGAAAGTGCTCTGTGCCCCAGGCTGGAGCAGACTCAGAGCCTGCCAGAGCAAAGGGAAGAGACTGGATGGGGAAGGGGGAGGCAGGGGGCAGAGTCTGCATGGAGGGGGAGGGAGATGGGGACCTGAAGCTTCAGGGGCCAAAGATTGCAGGGGAGGGTGGGGAGCAGAGTCTAGAGAAGAGAAGATACAAAGCAGGGTAGACATAGTGGGGGGTGAGTGGAGGCAAGGTACGGGGTGGCAGGGGCAAGGGGAAGACATTAAGCTGGTTGACGCCCAGCCAGCTGTCCCCTGCCATCTCACTACTGCCTGCCCCACTGTTGCCTGCCACACTACTTTCTCCCCGACCACCTGCCCTTGCCACTGTTTTCCTTACTACAGTGGTGGGAAGGGTGGGGATGATGAATTTAGAACAGCCCTCCAATAATTAGATTTTAGACATGGAAAATGATCGCAAATCTCTGAATTTTCCACGTGTATAATTAATTTGGGGGGGGAGGGGGGATCTTAAATTCAGGGTCATCTTGAATTCAGGTAAATACAGTAATACTCAGCAACTTCTTGCATGAAAATAACGAGTAGAAATACCAAAGTTAATAAATAAGTATTTAGAAAATGGGCAATGGTATTTTTAACTGGAGCAAGTGTTATGCATCTCTAAAATGGCCTTTATGTTATATGATGGCTGACCTGTCTTGTCAGTCTCATTGTTCTATGGGAAGTTTTTCTTTCATAATATTTAAGAGATTTATAAAACGGAAGAATAGAATTTAAACCACAAACCAGAATACTGACATTATGGAGGTACTAAAACTCTAAACAACACTTGCCTTTTATAATGCATGTTTCAAAACATAAATGGTCTGACACATTTGTGTTTGCTGCAGTACATGTGTGTAGTGGCATGAATTAAGCACAGAATATTTGCATATTTTGTGATCTGACAAAGAATGTCTTGAATTTGAAAGCTTATCTAACTCTGCCCCAACTACACTGTTAGTCTGATAAAAGGTATCACCCTAAGAAAGCCTTGCCTCTGGCATAATTTCTGGACTATCACAGCTATAACATCACTGCATATGATATGAGTATTTTTAAACTTTTTGTAATTATATCTCTAATCTTGTTCCAGAAATTGTCTCCATAGTGGGCAATAAACTTAGCGTTATGAAAATTTAATGTACTAGTGGTGTAATGAATGAAGTGCTTCTTTCTTGAAATTAACAGTCCAGTAATTAAGAATCTAAAGGTTACTTAAGACCCATAACTTAGGAACTGAGTACTTTCAAATACTGGATTTATCTCTACTAAATGCTTAGTATGGGTACAGAAGGCTTTTCATATAGTAATATCCCAGAGTTTCACTGTGCTGTCAGCTCTGATTGTGTCTGAATCCTTGTGCTTTTGCTGCCTTTTTTGTTTGTCTATTTACAGTCTTTTCTGCAGGCAAATTCTTACCACCTTCAGTCACGAGTCTTTTTTTTGGTGTTAATGACTCGTTTGTCCTGAGACCAGCTGGCTGGTGCTTCTTTCCCAGGCAACCAGGGATTCTCTGGTTTTGGTTCTTCCTCTGGCCTTAGCTGTGTACAAGAGCTTCCTGCTGCTGCTCTGTTCTCTCCCAGAGAAGTGGGAAGGACCCTAAAAGCAGCCTTTAATTCTTCACTTGTGCTTCCTGATAGTAAGATCCCAGAACAGTGTACGTGTATATATGTGTGTGTTTCTTTTTTTATTGTTTTCCTTCCCTCACCATGTCTAGAAAAACACTGGAGTCTGCCTTTATTGTTTTGAGAAAAATCCTAATCCTGTCCCTTTGGATTGTTATATAATCATAAAACTGTGGACAGTATGACACTACTTAGATAATATAGACACATTTTACATTTTCATTAACCAGAGATACCCATATAGTGTAAAGTATGACATGTCAGAACTACAGATTTAACTTTGTATTCTTGACCTGTTGAAACTATTACTTATTTCTCCATGCTCAAACGTGAACACATAACATTTTGCTTTATTTCATATACTGCATGTTGTGTGACCAGGTAATGTCATGTGTGTTAGGAAGCTAAAGGAAACATTAACAGAAAAAATATAAATAAAAAGCTAGGCAGGGGATAGGTAGGTTGAACTACTGGAAAAGGTTCTTTAGGGGATGAAGTTAGCAGTTACTGGGCACATCTACATGTGGTTCCAGGGCCTGGGCTGGGAGATCCTTATTTTCTAGCCCAAGCTCTGTGATCGTGGGACCCAGGATCTCCCAGCCTGGGCCCCCTATCGTGGAGCTTGGGCTGGAGAGAAGGCTCTCCAAGCCTGGGCCTTGCAACTGAGGGGCTCAGGATGGGAGATAAGGATTTCCCAGCTTGGGCCCTGCGATAACGATTGCAGAGCAGAGCTGGGAGCTCTATGTTGCCAGGGTAGGGGGACATTGTCAGCAGGCAGCTCCCGGTGGCAGGCAGCCATCTCCTGTCCCCTGCTGCCCGGCTGACTGGGAGCACATTTGCACTGGATTGGGGGTCTACAGGAACCATAAGTAATTGAGAGTAAATCTGCTACTTGTATTTACAGGTAGCAAATCTATTTAAGATTAAAGCAAATTACTGCACAGTAAGCATCCGCACATGTAGATAGTGAAGCTTGCTTTACAGTAATATACTCTGGCAGGGTGGAGTTTCAGAACACATGGGCATCGTGGGCACTGCCCAACCAGCCAGCACTCATGTGCATGAAGGCACTACAATGGGCCACGATGGTCTGGAGCACCATGGAGTGAAAGCCCCTCTGGCTATAGTATGGGTGGTCCCTGTGGGACGGGCAGGTGA